GAAGGAGGTTCTTATTCATCGTGTTCCTCTGGAGGATGGAGGGATCTCACCTCAGAAGAAGAAAAGAAAGAATCGGTAAAATGGACGACTCTTTTCTTCTGTCAACTTCTGAACTGTTACAGTTCATCAGTACTACATCAACAACAATAACAATACATTTTATATTTCATTAACTGCATTATTATATGAATTTTACATGACTGAATACATTTTAATATTATATACTTTTGTATTATAAATTATAAATATAAAATATAAATTATGAAAAGTAATATTGCTATTTGATAATAATAAATGCTATATAAAGATAATAACCCTGTGTCTGAACCAGGTCCTATATGAATAATACAGTACAGTGAATTCTAAACTATATAAAACTGTTGTTATGAAAAATAATATAATAATATTGTTAATAATAATATTCTGACCCTCTCTCTCTCTCTCTGGTCTTTAGGTTATGGGCCAAAATCCAGCTGAAGAAAGGTGAGCTCCTTTTGTTGTACCTTTAAAATAAATAGATATGAGGACAAATGCAGAAATACATAGTGAGGAATATGGGAAAAGATCTTTCTGTCTGTATGTCTGTCTGTCTGTCTGTCTGTCCATCCAGTCATTCATTTGATCGTTGAGCACATGAATATCGAAGATTGCTCCCATTTGTGAAGCCATGATTTAGTTTGTTCCTCAGTTTTCTTTACACTTGTCATTTTGTTTGCTATTGTTGCCTTAGATAATTCGTCCAATCAGGTGTACAACTACCAACCATGTGACCATCCAGAGCACCCGTGTGACAGCTCCTGCCCGTGTGTGATGACCCAGAACTTCTGTGAGAAATTCTGCCAGTGTGATCAAGAGTGTGAGTGATGCACACAGACACACTTGTTTTCATATAGGTGTGTACACCAACCAGCACAACTCCTTGTAGCTTTACTGATTGTCCATTTTATCAGCTCCACTTACTATATAGGTGCACTTTGTAGTTCTACAGTTACAGACTGTAGTCCATCTGTCTCTGTGCTCTGTTAGCCCCCTTTTACCCTGTTCTTCAATGGTCAGGACCCCCACAGGACCACCACACAGCCGGTACTATTTGGGTGGTGGATCTCAGCACTGCACTGATGGGGTGGTGGTGTGTTAGTGTGTGTTGAGCTGGTGCGAGTGGATCAGACACAGCAGTGCTGCTGGAGTTTTTAAACACTGTGTCCAACGACTGTCTACTCTGTTAGACACTTTCGACCTTGTTGGTCCACCTTGTAGATGTAAAGTCAGAGACAGTAGCTCATCTGTTGTGTTAGTCCTTCATCAATTTAAGACTGGGTTCTGTAGAGGACGTGTTGAAATGAGCATCACAAAATCAGACATTTTAGCCTCTGTGAGTCTCTCTTTTATTTTTGTCCCGAAAATGCACAAGCCCCCCCCCCACACACACACACACACACACACTAATGCTCAAAAGAGCCTCTTTGTTTTGCATTAGGGAAAGTATCCAAGGGCTATTTTTGTTTTCCAAAGAGGCTTTTTATCTGTCTCTCTTTCTGTGGAATGAAAGCTCTCTCTCACAAAGCCAGGTAAGATGAGAGCAGGTGTCTGTAAAAAGCCTCTTTTACTCTGTCTGTTTTTCCTTATTTTCTCTTGCTTCTTTCCTCTTTCGCTGCTTTCTTGTCTCTCTCTCCCCCCCCCCTCTCTCTCTTTCTCTCTCGGTAGACATACAAAAACATGAAAATTGTGATCTTTTATTTTGTCTTGGCTAGGTAAGGTAGTACAGTCAGTTGGTATGCAGCTTTGGGGCTTTTCCAGTGTTAGGTTTAATCTTGGAGTTCAAAAAGAGCCAAAAATGCTTCTAAACTGAGCAGAGTTAAATGTTTCTGCAGAGTGCTGTGCCACACCTCTTTTTTCACTATGCAGAGATGTTCATCACCACTAGAGGGCAGCAATGCACAGACAAGTTCATTCCCTATGTTTATTAAGGACCCGTTTCCTAAACCTGGATTAAACCTAAGCCTAAGGCTTAGCAGAATCCACACTGACATTGTAATTTAGTCCAAGGCTAGGCTTAATCGATGTTGGCAGCCTGGCCCCATGTGTTTTGCCCAGAGAGAAGCTGTCAGAGTAAATCAGCTCCACTAACACTTCCTGCCTCTCTAGTTTGCTGAACTAACCCGGCTGTTATCGCTGTAGGTCAGAACCGGTTCCCAGGCTGCCGCTGTAAGACTCAGTGTAACACCAAGCAGTGTCCGTGTTACCTGGCAGTACGGGAGTGTGACCCTGACCTCTGCATGACCTGTGGAGCTTCAGACCGCTGGGACAGCAAACAGGTGTCCTGCAAAAACTGCAGCATCCAGAGAGGACTGAAAAAGGTACGCATTACAAATAAATAACACACTCTTTACTAGTTACATTAAACATGTTTCATCGTTATATGTTATATTGTTTGTAGTAGTAATAATAATAATAATAATAATAATAATAATAATAACTCTAGAGCTGCTATTGTGGTTTTGCAATATTATTTAAAGGTAATTACTAATAACATATTACAAAAGCAGTTTGTTTGTTATAGCTGAATGAGTGGATTCACCAGAATATATTTACTTGCGTAATCAGATAATGTGAAACTCCAGTTCTACGTGAGTCAGTCAGTGATCAGATTTCTGCTTTGCAACCTGCCAATAAACTTACAGAAGGAGGCGTGACGTAATGTAACGTAAAGCTCAAACTTCATGCTGTGGCTTTTTTATTAAAACATCTGCCACTTTACCTGAAAATATGAAAATACATCATCTAGAGGAAGAAGAATTTCAATTCAAGCATAAAGTCAGTTTCAGTGTCGCTCTAAGAGTTTTCCTGCCATCTTGTGGCAACGCTGTTTGCTAATTTCCAGACACAGGTCCGTTCTCGTGCACACCTGCACAGACTGAGAAATCTGAAAGAAATCAGAGTAAGAGTTTACATGCGCTGATAAATCTGATCACTGAGCTAAAATCCAGCTCTCTTTATCGGATTTCTCAATCAGATTTCTAGGCCTTACTCCAATCTAAGAAATCAGAGCGTGCTGTTTACATGACCATTTGAATAATCAGATAGCTGCAGAAATCTGATTATGATCGGATTATTGAGGGCATGTAAACACACTCGTTGATAAACAAATTGGTTTATCGAGAGGGCCATCAACAGAACTCTTCATTTAAAGCTGTATCTAAATTCAAGGGCTACAGTAGCTTCAAGTCAAGTTACAGCGCACAAGCAGCTGGGCTTTAAGGTGTTTAGTATGGAACTACAACAAGAACAAGGTTGGCCTTTTATTTGAATTTGCCATTCTGCCTTAAATGGTACAAGTGCCACAATGTAACTACTCCATTTAAGGTGGAACGGCAAATTCAAATACGAAGCTGACGAACAGGAAGCTACATTCAGCTTCATGAAACGATGAAGGGTCTGAAAGATAGGAAAATGCATTAACAGTGTAAAAAATGTTAATAATTTATTGCATTAAAGAAATTATTAATGTGTTAACTTTGGCACAACTAATAATAATATAATTCATTACATAGTAAATAACATATTAAATTAGTCTATTACATTCTGTATCGACAGGTTAGAGTCGGCACTTCAGTTTCAGTGTCACAAAATCATAATTAAGGTTAACGTGCACCTATAACTTTGTCAAATTCAGATCATATTAAAATAACTACCTCCTGCTTACAGACACAAATATGGTATGGATTGACAGTTTAGAATCTACATGTTCTGCAAAGTTCTCTGCTTGTCTAAATGAGCCACAAGTGAGAAATAATTAATGTCAACATGCTTCTGTTATTTACAGCAATAACTGTGACTTCTAAGAGTTAATAATATTAATAGTAATAAAAGAGAATTCAAAGCTCTGTTCACTGACCTCTCTAGCACCTCCTCCTGGCCCCGTCTGATGTAGCAGGTTGGGGAACATTCATCAAGGAACCCGTCCAGAAGAACGAGTTCATCTCAGAGTACTGTGGAGAGGCAAGTGCAGCCCAGACCTGATCGAGTCCACATGAACAGAGTTTTACATCTTTAATTCTCACTGGATTAGAAGTTAAAATGATGAGGATTTTTCCATAATATGATTAATATTGATCTGTATGTGTATGTGTGTAGCTTATTTCCCAGGATGAGGCAGACAGAAGAGGTCGGATCTACGACAAGTATATGTCCAGCTTCCTGTTCAACCTGAACAACGGTAAATATCATTACGTGCTAAGAAGTGCTTTGCTTGGCTTCATTTTATCATCCACACCACCAAACCCTCCACTCAGAGACGTCTTACGCTGCCTGTGTTTTAACCGATTCTGCCTTAAACAGACTTCGTTGTGGACGCCACTAGAAAAGGGAACAAGATTCGCTTCGCCAACCACTCTGTCAATCCCAACTGTTATGCTAAAGGCAAGTCTCGCTTCTGAAGTCAAAACCTTACACTTCACCAGCAATGCATTCAGAGCCCCTTTATCTGGAGCTGTGCGCTACTGTGTTTCCTATCACTGTGTAAAAGAAGCTCCATGCTGCCTTTATTGTTGGATGCACTACACTAAAAATTGCACTGAATTTACTTGATTCAAATGTGTACTTTGGTTCCACACTTATAAAATATATCACATCAATACGATTCTTGCCAAATCTATTACAAAGATGTGATATATTTCATTCATGTGCACACATTTCAAATTCAAAGCAAAATATGGTTCAATGTACGATAGTTTCAGAGCACAAACCACATCACTATTCATGTGAAGTCTATTCCCATTAGTTTTCTTGCTCAAAAGGGCAAAAACCTATGACCCTTCAGATTTGCTCAGTTACGTTCATTACACATAAAAAGATATGTGACAGTAGCATTAAGTAGTGTTATTAAAAGGCTAATCTTTTTCTCCACATAAGAGTAAATTGAGGATTATAAAAGGGAGAATGATGTCAAGGTTTTGACGTGTTTTGATGGGATGTGACTGCTCTGCGTTACAGTTGTGATGGTGAACGGGGACCACCGTATCGGAATCTTTGCCAAACGGGCCATACAGCAAGGGGAGGAGCTCTTTTTTGATTACAGGTATGCCTTGGGTATTCATTTGCTTGTAAGGACCAAATTTTTTCTACCATAAAGACCATTTCACACTGACCCACCTAACAAATAACGCCACCATTCTGATTGTGATTTGGCTTTATATTGTTCCAAAATAAGTACTGATAAGCCAAAAGAACCCACATGAAATGTAGAACATTCCAGAACAGTATGGATGCAAAAGAACATACTAGAGTGGGGGAACATTTTAAAACGATGTGAATGGTGGAGAACATTCTCCACGTTCTACTCTGTAAAAAAAGATTGTGTTTTAACTTAAAAAAGTAAGTGAACCATTTGCCTTAAAATTTTGAGTTAATTGAACTTCTAATAGTAAATTAACAGAACAATCCATGTTTTACATCCTGTTTAAGTTCAATGAACTCAAAATTCAAGTTACCAAGTTATCTTAATTTACCAAGTTACTCAAACATTAAAATCATTTTACAGTGAAGATCAGTGCATAGGGGGAATATTCTAGCACTATATGAACTGAGGAGAGCAGTCTTGAACAGTGTGAATCAGAACATGCTAGAACAGTATGAAGAGGGTAGAACAATCTAGAACAGTGTGAATGGTGGGAGAACAATCTAGAGTCTCCCATTCTAGAGTCTCCCCTTTGTGTTTGTCGGTGTTTGTAGGAGAACATTGGGTCAGTGTGCTCCGGGCTTCATTGCCATAGAAGAACCAGTTTTGGTTCAATAAAGAAACTTTTAATAAGTGGTTCTTAGAGAATCTTTTTTGTAAATGAGATGTGTGAGTATAAAGAACCTTTTGAAAGAACCTCCACCGAATGTGAAGGTTCTAGGGAGAACCCTTAAATTGGTAAAAGAACCTTTTTATTATTATATTATATTAAGCAGTGCTATATTATGATCTATTTATTATTATAAGACAAAAGTTAAAGATATAACTGAAATATTCAATGATGGTCGCCTGAGCATTCTTGTTCTCTTTCAGCAGTCTATAGTTGCTTGACAACAACACCATACTGTTAAGGAACTACATTTCATGTTAAAATTATTGTTTATCTCAATTATTATTAATAATTACTTTAATTCTTTATTGAAAATGGTGTATTTTCTCATATTTCATGCTGTACACCGTTTGTAAAAGCAGTAAGCTACTTGTGACTGTGCATTACAGTGATTTTATCATGGGTTAGATGGGTTTAATCGTGATAAAAATCACTGTAACATGCCACCTTTTGTGGCTTGTTGCTGTAGTGTATGATAGAATTTGTCCTCTGTGCAGGTTGTAGAAAGTACTCTGATGTATCACAGTTCCTTCCTAGGTACAGCCAGGCTGACGCCCTGAAATACGTGGGTATAGAGAGGGAGATTGATGTCGTGTGACTTTACCCCTTCCACCTGGCAATGCTGTTACTGCTACTACCCACAACGCGTCTCTCCTCGCTCAGGACTGCGGCTCTAATGTGGGCAATCTGGATCCGTTTCTGCTCACAGAAAAGGATTCTTTGATGTCATTTTTGATATGATATCACAGAATCGTCCTGCAACTTCACCCAACTCGAGGGTAAACATGCTCTTTCTGGTCATGAACTTGAGGTCAGTCGAATAGTCTGAACTAGCAGGTTTCTTGGTTTAAAAGGAATCAGTGGACTGAGGATTATTAAAGCCTGCTTGAATTCTCAGCCTAAGAAGAATAACCTCAGATAGCTGCATCACTTTCAATACCGTCTTTCAGTCTGACAGCATTTCGGGCGAAACGAAGCTGCTAGTTCAGACCATTTATGGCCAATTGCTCTAGTTCTTCACATTGTGGTAGACTCTGTACACAAGCTTGTCAACCATACACAGTTCTTGCCATCCTTATATACTTAATATAACACAAAACTAAGAGAAACGTTTTTAGTTGGTTCATTCAGGCACGAAAGCCTAGATCGTTCTTTCAGTTGAGTTACACGTTAACCGGTAGTATTCAGTCGTCTTCAGCGTCTTTCCATCACTGAACGACCTTCACTTTTGACAAAACCTGCAATAATATCGTCTTCAACTATACTGTAGTGTACTGTGATGTTAGCCTGTTACTGTAATCTGCAATGCTCTGCTGTTTTCCAAGCCTGTTCGTTACCTTTGCTAGCCTTGCCGTTCGTTTTTAGCCGTAGCCAGGCTAGCAAATGCCCTCTGTTACGCCGCAGTCTCATACTGGCTAAGCTAATCTATCTCTAGCCTGGATCCTCTTCTCTTCCAGCTGTAAGCTGCTCGGCTGCTGCTAACTATGTAGCACAAAAAAAAAAAATGACTATTTGTAAGAGGTAAGCGTTCAAAGCTAGTGTCGCGCTAAATGGCAGGTATCCTTCATTTCAGTGTCTGCTTAAATTGTGGAATAGGTCCAATGGCAGCGTTCTGCAACACAAAACAAAAGAAGTAACCATACAAACCGACAGACTGAATGTGAAATTTGAGCTGGAGAGAGAGACTTTTGAAGCAAAGAAACGTGGGAGATTCCTTCTTAGGGCTTTTTTTTTAAGGGTTTACAAAAATCCAGAGTGGGTTCCGCTGTCATTTGTCCCTTTTGTCTGTTAAAATAAAGAGTAAAACCAAACTACAGCCGCCATAGTGACTAAAAAAAATGCCCTGAAGTTATATTTGCACTTAGCATGGTCACTTCAGGAAAGATTTGAGAAGGCATGCTAACGCTAACTCATTCATCCACATTCTAGATTCTGTAGCATTAAAGAAAGCATGATAATAAGAGATTATTCTTGTATTGCTAGATCATATAGGCCTCATACTTATTTCTAAGATGTATTAACCACATATGGCCAGACAATTATCATAATTTATTGTGTTTATTACAATATTAATTTATTGCTATGTTATCAATTACGTTACCTTTTTTTTTTTTACTATATATATATTTTATATGATGGACATCATCGATGTAATCCTTAATTACATTAACCCTCATTCCTCTAGCTGAATTTGCCTCCTCAAATCTTGCCTGAAGAAACATTTGTTTGCTGTTTGTTATTGGGAGATTCATAAGCCTTCAGTACTGTTATCATGCTGAATGCCTTGTTGTCTAATTCCACACTGTGACACATGGGATTAAAACACTCTTTACATGCATGGTTAAGGATGCTATTGATTTATACTTATTTCATCATCATGATAACATCTCAAAATCTTCACAAAACTGATTCTGCCACTAAATAACCGGCCATTAGCCAATGCACCATCTAAGTTCATATATCTTTAAACGCTCTAAACCATCTTTTCAAATATTTTCTCAGTGAAACATCAGGTGCACACTGATCAAACAAGCTTGGGTGGTGATGCAAAATGAAATATTCATTTATTCTTATAATTATCATATAAATAACAATGACAAAGTCTTCAAGCAAATGTATCTCCAGTTTACATTCAGTTCCTTTAACGTGAAGCCGTGCACATATTTGCAGATAAACAGTCAAGAGCAGGGATGTGGGAAGGTGTTTTAAGTTGGGGGTGCTGAAATTTTAAGCAGTCTGACGTGACTGATGAGGTCATTCAATATGATTTGCCATTTGTCATTTGATTCTTTTTGTTTTTTAGGGTTTTGAAACTGAGCATGTCATACAGCGCTATGTTGAGGCGAGAGGCGACAATATTTACGTATAATTGACACATCAAACCGGTGACGCCCATCAGCGCTCTGCTCTCTAGTTCTGGAGTTCCATCTCTCCATCTAAAATTATTATAAAGCTCAGATTTATTAATAGTAATATTTTTAATAGTGCAATCCTGAAATCGGGGTGATGCAGCCCCCTCAGCACCCCCCACTTCCCACATCTCTGGTCAAGATTCACAGTTTGTCGCATAGAATGGGCTGCTTTCCACAGTACTGTGCAAAAGTCAGAGGCCACCCTTCATTTATTTCATTTCCAGTCAAAACAGCCATTAAATATACATTATTCATTTTTCAGCGTCAGGAAGAAAACAGAAAACATGCATTTAACAGAAAATTACACAGGATCTTCTTCATCCGAATATAATATCACGCATTTCAGTATTTATTGTGTCCACTCTTTACGTTTATTACAGTTTCTGCTCTTTTCAGGAGACTCACGTTCAGTTTCTCAAAGAAATCTGCCGAGATATTTTCCACACCTCCAAAGTTCAGTCTTAGAAGTTGGTTCTACTTCTTTACGATCCAAATAATCCCAAACACATTCAGTAATGTTGAGGTCTGGACTCTGGGGTGGTCAGTCCATTGTTCTGAGTTGTCATCTCACAGTGGAAGGATGGACAGAAATTCATATGGATGTTTTCAGATCTGAAGTAAGAGTGGACCTTGATTTTTTCAAAGATGAAAGCTTTGAGTGCTGTTTGTCTGATGGGGGCAGTTTTGGTGTCTACCAGGTGTTCCAGGTGGTTGTTAGGAGGCCCATTTTCTTTATAATTTCTATTGATTTTTTGAACACCAGCTTTAGAAACTCATGTTTTTCCACTATTTTCCTTTGACTTTCCTCTTCCTGATGCAAGTGGATTATCTTATATCTGTTCTTCTCAGAAATATCTCCTGAAAAATGGGTAATAATAAATACATAAAATAAATACATAACTATAATAAAATAATACAATTAATGAAGGGTGGTCTCTGACATTTGCACAGCACTGCATTAGCAAAACTACTTCTATTCATCTGAAATTACGTGGCTTCATTACATGCAGTATATAAAGCTGATAAAACTCTCCTGGCTGAAGTTAGACATTCCTGAATGCCTTCAAAATACGGTACTGTGCATCTGAGAAACTGGTGTAAAGCTGTTTATCTGGGCAGTAAGTATTTATTAGTTTAAAAACACTAACATTAGAATGAATACAAATAATAAACAAAACAATACATTGTGATTTGATGCGCGTTAATTTAGCCATTTCAACAAATCAATACAGTGGCTGGAGTGCAGCGAACCAAACCTGTGTTCCTTTAACTGATTTATTCTAACCAACATAATATCTTTAAAAAAAAAACTTGTTACATTTTAATGTATTTATGCTTATTTGTAATTATTCTAATGTTTAATAGCAAAAACATACTTACTGCCTAAATAAACTGTTCTAAACAATTTTCTTGGGTGCCTAAGACTTTTGCACAGTGCTGTAGTTGAAACCAAAAATGGCCCGTATTAAAACGTCGTAGCTGCGTGTGTTCATTTGTCTGATATTACGTATAATGATATTTCCGTTGGGTTCTTAATTCATCTGTAACACAGAAGTCTTCCCATTTTACAGTATATGTGCCAAATACAGAAATGCTGAATCAGATGACGAAGGGTGGTTTAATAATAGAGTCACTTTAAAAGTGTGAATTATTAAGTGTAATAATGATTCTGTAAATGGAAACATTTCAAAGCCCTTTTTGTAAAATACCATGTACATTCTACATGTATATTGTGCAGTCTTCTGGATCTTCTGGATGTCACAACATCGTTATTTGTATTATTTCTCTAATATACACTGCCATCATATTCATCCCATGCCATTCAAGCCCACTTTATGAAGAGAGCTCTCGGCAGAAGACTGAAATGCTATGGAACTTAGACATGTATGTAAAAGCAAGTAGGTATGTGTATGGAAAATAAATTTATAAGTTACTTTGAAATCTGTCTTGGTTTTTTGTTTTAGATTTTATGTACCGTAAAAGAAGATTTTATAACACAATTCCAGGCTCATTATTCAGTGACTACATAGACGGCAGTGCAAACTAGCTGAGTTATTAAAGCTACACTGTGTACGTTTTGGGGATTTGGAGACCTCTCTGGTGGAAATGTGTTATTGCGCCCAACATGCAGAAAAACATTTTGTAACATGGGTTGTGCTTCGGGCCCCTTACCTGAGTAGATGAATATGATGACTGCAAGCGCACTGAATGAGTATTCAGAGAGAAGCCTGTCTAAACCTGGTAAAGGTTGGGGGTTCTGAGGATGTCAAAGAATGATTTACTCCTGTCATAATATCCTTATCAGTATGTTGATTTTGCATTTTTGAGACCTAAACATTGAGTCGGGCCTTCTTTTTGAGCCTGTGCATATGACATTAATACGTAAAAGGCGTTTCACGTGGTCCGAAAAATTTCCACAAAACCTGAACCTCTAAATTAAACAAATAGGTCTTTAACTTTTAAAATGATAAATTAAGGCTTTACAGGGTGACTCACAGCAGCACACGCATCATATTCTATGGTCTTTTTTTATTTTAACTGAATGCTTACATAGTACGCACCTTTAAGTTGTAGAAGTGTGTAATAAAAGTCATTTAAGGAGATAAAAAAGAAACATGGCCAAGTTAAAAATTTGACTTGAACCTCTAATACCCATGTGTCAAACACAAGGCCCGTGGGCCAAATCAGGCCCACGACACAGTCCTCTCCGGCTCATTGAATAATTTTAATTTTTTATTAATATTAGCCTGTTTCACAATGCACTGCAACGTTCTGTGCACTCTGACTCTCCTACCCCAGCAACAGTCTATGGGACAGCAGTTACACCTCAGTTTCACACAATTCTACACCAGTTCCACACCAGTCATATCACCAAACGCTCTAGCCTGATTTCAGCTGCAGTTCAACCAACATAAACACCTACGGTCAGCTCAGCAGCTCAGAAACTGAGCCCAAGTATTAATGAACTTGCAGCAAAGAAAGGATGGCAGGTGTCCAGTTCAATCAGATAGGTAGGTTTAAAAGACTGAGCTCCTGGGGACATTTAAATTTTGAATATATTTCAAGTATTTATGACATATTTTAATGTTCACTACACGTGCCTATTTTAAATAAACAATGGTCAGTACGGGTTATAGCACAACAACAATAATTAAAAATAAAATAAACATTGTTTTGAGATTTTTAATATGACCCTTTTACTCGTTGAGCTTGACACCCCTGCTCTAATAGTAAGTAAAGGGAATGTAACCATCACTACATCTGTTGTACACATGCCTACTTGCCCCCTATGGCGGAGCCGCAGTAGACTATAGAGTGAGAATTTCCAGTTTAAAGGATAGAAACACCCCCTTTTAATGTACCGTGAAGGTGGGAGGAGCTGAAAAGCCATAACAGGTGGATTTTCAACAGTTTGGAAATGTATTTTTTCTGTGTTAGCTGGTGAATGCAGAAGACAGATAACAGCTATCTTTACTACTATATTTCATTGCAGCCATTCAACTGTTTTCATATAATCATTACAGTAGAAACAAATGAACTACTTGAATTGACAGAAATGACTCGGCAGGCGAGGAGAAGCTGAAAGCCGAGTTACAGTGATGCTAGCTTGGTTGTTTTTATTAGACTTTTAATTAGATCAGTGGCTATTTTAGAAGCCAGGATTGATTGACACCACAGGGATTCCTACAGAAGTTCAGAGAGGCCATGAGGTGGTTGCAGATTTCTTAATTGTTGTCTTGAGATGAGTTAATTATCTTGTGATCGAAGATAAAGTTGTTGAGATAACAAGATAACTATCTTGTGATCAAGATATCAAACACAGTTGTTGTCAAGATAACGAGTTATCTTCAAGATAAAGTTGTTGTCTTGAGATATGGAGTTAACTGTTTTGTGATCAAGATAAAGTTGTCTTGATAATGAATTAATTATCTTGTGATCTCAAGATGACAAAGTTGTTATCTTGAGATCACAAGATAATTAACTCGTTATCTCAAGATAACAATCCAGAAAATTATAGCAACAGCCCATGGCCTCTCTGGACTTCCGTAGATTCCCAATGGATCTATGATGTATTTGCGTAATGCATGCTGGGTATTGTAGTGAAAGAACACTGATGAATGAAAACAAGCAATATAAAATCGTGAATTCTGTCGAATGATGGGGTGCAGTGCTCTGCTACATAAGACCACAAGTTAAAAAGTTTTCAAATCAAAGTAAAATCACATTTACCCAGGTGTGAAGGTCAGTGAAAATCTTAGGTGCATAGTTTTAGACTGGAATTGGTGGGTTCTGTCCTGTTATTATTTGAAGTCCAATCAAATCTGATGTTTAGTTCAACACATTACATCATTTATTCTACTGTGTGGAGCAGAATGCAAAGCTGACCAAGCTGAGAGAAAGTAGAAGAGGGAGAAGTTTCCTTCAAGCTTGTTTTATTGAAGTGTCAGTTTGGTGTTGCTTTCTACACAGTCATGGTACTTACAATGAAGGTGTCACAAAACAAAACAATTAAAAATAGCAGGAAACTTCCACATTACAGTTGTGTTAAATTTGCCATCATAAAGCCAAAACTGTATCTCCTAACTAGACTGTGACGGGTGAGATGATGGAGATTAGTCTGATTGAAGAGTGTTAACCCATTAAACTGCATTTACACTGAAAAGATGCTGCATTGAATTTACTTGGTTGAAATGTGCCCATCATTTCCATACGAATATAAAAAGATATTACACAGTGTTAACAGTTACTGACAAAAGGAAAGCAAAGCTGCTGATGCAATATATTTTATTAAGGTGTAAATGAGCAAATGTACACATTTAATTGAAATAAGTCCAATGCAGCACTTTGTTTAGTATATTTAGTCATTTTTGTTAAGACTTATTATTCAATAACTACCCTGAAACTGTTAGTTTTAATGAGAGAGGAAGTAAATAGGACCACATTCAGGCCCTTACAGTTGAAGTGGTTAAACTGGGCCCCTACATACATGTGGTTTGGCCCTTGGGGTTATCATAGTGTCCAAGCCCACCCCAGACTGGTGACACTGCACACACAGATTTGATGACTGAACAGCATTAGAAGCCAAGTGACAATGTGTAACACAAAAAAAAATGGTGCTTTGAAAAAATATATAATATATTAGCTCGACACAATCACTGCCTTTCAGTTCACTCTTGGCAATAACTGTGTTATAATACATTTTATTCAGTCAGCACTTGAATTATTCTGAGCTTACAGTGTATCAAAGGCCTGCACTGCTCAGGCCAGGCAGGACCTTTAACATATCACTGTCGTAGCAGAACCTCTTAACTCTGTTTTACATTTTAGACCACATGTGTCAGGCTCCAGTCCTCGCAGGCCAAAGCACTGCAGACTTCAGCACACTGCCTCAATAAACAAGGCCTTCATGACCTGAATTCAGATGAGGGTAAATGCTAATCTGACAGCACGTTGGCCTGGAAGGTCCCCAGTTTGACATGCCTGTTTTAGACTATTTGAAACCACCAGCTGACTTTTATATTAAGTGAATGTTCCATGATGAATGGAACAACAGAAATGGGCCAAAAGTGCTTGAAAATAAATCTGGTTATATTAACATATTAGCACTATCAGCCTAAGAAGGCTTTGGCGCTTAATATGCATTAGCATTGTTAGCATTGAAACACTTCATAGGAGAAGGTAGAAGTTACCATTTTACAGATGTGAGGTTTTGTCACGACAGCAAATGTGATAAAGGTACTCGTCAGAACATTTCACAGCACATTCATGTCAATCTATGAAAAGAAAGATTTGTACTACAGGCGCACAGTGAAGCTAGTAAAGACCTGTGATAATGTGAACTTTAAGGTAAAATTGGAGAACATTCTGTTTAAGAGCCTTCAACCTAATACAGTAGAGGTTACATTCCAGTTAACAGAAACTGAGCATTCAAACATCTGCTACACATGGTCTTACATTAATATCATACAAGCTCCTCAATCAAAACAGATATCGTTAGCTGAGATTAGCCAAGCTGTACATGAACCATCACCTCAGCGCTACCGGGGAGAGATATTTTGCTTTCATGCTCTGCCCACAAATGTGGTCTTACATAGCACTTTTGCTAGCCTGGAAAAGCTTTACAGTCCAAAAATCCCCTTTCAACATATTAAAATTTCAGTACAAACCTTGATTTATATAGGATAAAATTTACACAGGGTCATTTCCTCTTTTATCATCTCCATGATTTTCCAGGCAGATGTTCATGAACACTGATACTTGCCCTATTTACACTTACATTACTGTTATGGCATCTGGCAGTCGCTCTTATCCAGAGCAACTTACAATTTGATCATTTTTACACAGGTAGGTGAAGGTAGTGTTAGGAGTCTTGCCCAAGGACTCTTACTGGTGTAGTGTAGGGTGCTTACCCAGGTGGGGGACTGAACCCCTGTCACTATTAAGTCTTCTAGCACACATATCCATCTGAAACACTTCCCAAATTGCGAACTTAAATGGGATTTTTACCAATGTTCCGTAAAGCTTGTCCACTTTTGGTTCCCTAAGTAACTTTTTAAAGGTTCTTTAGAGAATCTTTTTTGAAAAATCAGGTGTATGGGTGTGAAGGACCTTTTGTTTAAGTGTACAGAACCTCCACATAATGTGAAGGACTTAGAAAGAACACTTAAGTTGGTTTATAGCATGTGAAGGTTCTTTAAACCTTTAACAGGTTGTTCACACTCATACATCTGTTTTTCAAACATGGTTCCTTAGGGTACCAAAAGTGGCTCTTCTATGACATCATTCAAACTTTTTGTAGCACTAGAGGGTACCCTTACAAATCACTCCCAGAGAATACCAAATTCCGGATTCGAAATCATTTCCACAGAGAGACTTCCTATATAAATTATTCCCATAGAAATCATTCCCGCATTCCCATTCCCAAATTCCCATAGAAAGACATCCTATAGAAGTAATTCCCATATAAATCATTCCCAGACACTTTCTATAGAAATAATTCTCATAGAAAATCATTCCCACAGAAATAATTCCCACAGAAAGACGTCCTATAGAAATAATTCCCATAGAAATGATTTCCACAGAAAGAATTCACATTGAAATCATTCCCATAGAAATACTTCCCACAGAAAGATTTCCCATAGAAGTAATTCCCATAGAAATCATTCCTACAGAAAGAATTCCATTGAAATCATTCCTACAGAAATCATTCCCATAGAAAGAATTCACAACGAAATCATTTTCACAGGAATCATTCCTATTGAAATAATTCCCATGGAAATCATCTCTACAGAAAACATTCCAACAGAAAGAATTTACATAGAAATCACTGCCACAGAAAGAATTCTTTTTAAATAACTTCCATAGAAATCCTTCCTACAGAAATAATTCCCACAGAAATAATTCCTACAGAATTCACTGTGTTTGTTATTCTAAACTGTACAGTTGGTTGACATTTGATCCTGAGTGAAGGGAGGCAACAAACGAGGAAACAAAGGGATTGAGGAGGTGGGAATAAACACGGAGGAGAGGTTTAAGGAGGAGGAAGACAGCTGCTTAATGTCACGAGTTTGAGGCTGTAACATCCGTCTGCTCAGAACTCCCTCTACAGACACACTAATCAAAATAGCTCCACTTGTCTGTTTTACTTAATTTATATAAATTAGATTCATAAAAATCTACTCTTCATTTACACGTCACTAAAACATCTGAAGCACAACAGACACCACAGAACGTGTGCGGTTGATGGAACTAGCACTGGAAGCAGCTGATTATTCTTCATTATTGCATTTTAATGAAAGTGCTGTCGTCATGCAGGATGCATAGCTGTTAAGGGCTGCAAATGTCTCCTACTTCTTTATTGTTATTATTATTTTTTAAGCACTGCTCCTAGTTATACTTCATTATGACTCATGATGCTCTAAACTTTGGTTATGATTGTTATTGAAAGCAGCTAGAAAGCAGTGTTAGCAGCAGCAACTGTGGTTTTAATACAGCGAACGCAAAACTAGCCCGACGTCGAGAAAAAGCACTAAACGGACATTTTTACATTGTGGTTCTCCCACATGGAGCCATCATGACCAGAACAAACAGAAGCACCTCAATATAGGTTTCTTGTGAACTGGGTAAACAGATTAGATGCCATATACAAAATAAATGAATGAAAATAATAATAAATAATAAATAAAAAAAAACACAAAAGGGAAAACGCAAGATATCGCAACGTATTACTTTTGTACTAAAATCTGAGATTATTCCGTTTATATCAGCAGTAAAGCACCCTATAAGACTGGCTTTCCTGCTACTTCACAGGGAATTAGGAACCAAATAATGGAGGCATTGATTAGACATTTTCCCACAAAGTTAATATCCCAGTAGGCTGTGATATTAACATTACTGACAAATTGGGATAACAGTTTCTGTTCAGCATTGGGCCTCATTTCCATTAGAATTTACATCAATGGTACAAATTATAAGATCTGTGCTGATTCATATAAATAAGACAGATTCAACATCAAATATCAGTAATGCTTGTATTAAGTGTATATGATGTATTTGATAAATTGTTCGCCAGCCTATTCAATCTATATTAATCTATGTCTGTATTGTTAATCTCTTTGATTAATCTATGTTAGAGGTCAGTTAATTACATATAGACTGAACTGGTTGACAAATACTGAAATATTTAGCTATTTTAAACAAATTTCATAAATAAGGACCACGCTGAAATGAGCAACGCTTACACTCGCAAAAATGACGTGTCAAACAACAACTTGTGTCATCTGTTTACATTTTGTGTCTTATTGTCCTGTAATGATGTGCCAACATGTCCATTTGTCAGAGAAGTATATTGTCATTGTTTCTGGATCTAGCTAACATCTAGAGAAGCTAGCTTAGTTATCATTAGAGCTGCACTTCTCCACCTTCTCAGTCACGTCCTTAACAGAGGGTCATTGGCTACGTCCACATTCAGGCACTCGTGTTTCATAGTAGCAAAGTGTAATGCAAGTTTACAGACCTGTTAAAACATAAAATCAGTGTCGCTTCTCTGTATATTTTCTGATTTCAGTGTTTGAATATTGACAGTACAAACAGTTAACCAAGTACTTTGACCTGTATTTGACATGTAATGTTTTACCTTATTAACTTTGTTGTTTTTTGTATCTATGCTCATTCTGAAACTGATGCCTGCAGCATGTTCCAAAAAAGTTGGGACAGAGGAAATTTAAGACTAGGAACATTAAGAAATGTTCAAAGAACATTTTAAACAGGTAATACAATCATGCTCGGATATAAAAGAAGCATTCAGGAAAGGTCTACTCTGTTATGAACAAAGACGGGTCGGGCTCACCACTGCCAAAAATGCATCAGCAAAAAATCTGACAGTTTAAACATAATGTTCCTCAGCCAGGGATTGCAGTGACTTTAGGTATTTATGCCTTGTAGAGGCTAATCATCAAAACATGCAGGGAATCCAGAGAAATCTCCGTGCTTAAAGAACAAGGCTGAAAACCACAAGTCCATGACCTTCCATGACCTTCAACCCTTCAGACATTACAAAACGGCATGTTTCTGTGATGGACATCACCACATGGTCTCGGAAAAGCTTTGCCAAACCACTGTCGATAAACACTGTCTGTTGCTGCATCCGTAAATATTAGTTAAGACTATACTCTGCACAGTGGAAGCCAGAAACACTGCCAACTTCTCTGGGTTCACATTTTGGAGCGACATATGCTACTTTCTAGGTGCTGTCTTTTTCAGGGGTGTCCGTATATGTTTCAACATATCAAGTCACATTCTCAACGTATTACAACAGCATGGCCGCGTAATCAGAGGTGCTGGAATGGCCTGCCTGCAGTCTAGAACTGTCTCCCACTGAAAACAAGTGCCTTTCTAGGCTCCAAATATGACAATAAATGCCCTGTACGGTCGCACAGTGGAGGGCATGTGTAACAGAACAATGGCAAAAATGCTTTCAAAACTAAATCAGTTTGTGTCGTATCCACAGTTGTGTTACTGTGACATAACACAGTGCCAAACATGCTCCCAAAGTGTTTGAAACATGTTGCAGGCATCAAATTTGTGTGTATATTTACAAAAACAATAAAGCTCTGAAGGTAAAACATAAAATAGTGCGTTTTAATACCATTTTTAATTTAATGCCGGTCAAACCGAATGTACTAAATCACTGCTTTCTGTTTTTATTAGCATTTCATACACTGTCCCAACTTTTTTTGAAATGGGGTTGTAGAAGAAAAGAAATGAGATGTTAAAGTAATTAGTCATTTGTAATGGATCTATTTCTTAACTACCCCAACACTGGTTTTAACCCATTTTGTGTTAACAGTAACACAGTTGTTAGTGTTGTTTCTGGCACATCTATTTTGAGAGTGTACAATGAATAAATCAAAGTTGCCATCACTTCAGCTACATGGAATGTGAAATCTCTATGAGTGCTCATTTCTGTGCCAACTTTCAACAGAGCAACGGGTTTTTGACTGTTTGTAACATCTGTTTGGGTCAATTTGTAGCACTGGAGCTGAAGCTCAAATCATGAGATTACATTACAAACCACAGCATCTGTGTCCTGACACACTTGGCATGTTAAAGACCCTCATAAGACAGCAGGGGAGGAAGTAGCGCTGGGAATACTGATGGCTTGAACGCAACTATCTTTCAATAAGATGTGGACAAAATACTGTGTGAGTGTGAAGGGGGTGTTAATGGTGTTAAGCGCCTAACAGAGTCCAGCACTTCATCTGACTCATTAACTCTGGTTAGTGTTTGGGCAGGAACAGACCCCAGAAGGAAAACCACGTATGCATATCAGACTTGATTCACACACACAAAGACAATCACGCCTGCTGCTGATTCCTCTCAGCGCCTCCCCCTACTGACATACTGGAGAGCTGCAAGTGAAGTACTTCGTTCACCACGTTGGTTTACAAGGTTCCAATATGAAAAACGCTGGTAAATATGAAAATAGATTAATGAAATTAGGAGTTTTAGAGTAGAGGCAGTGAAAGGAATCAGGACCGTAGTCTTTAATCTCAGCAGCTGTGGAAACAACTGTTTTCAACCCTGAGTCAAGGCATACCGACACACGACATACAGTACATTACTCGTCCTCGTTTCATAGGGTAGTATTAGTGAATGTTGAGGATTTGAGTCCCTCGCACAAAAGCTAGAATGTAATAAGATTAGGCCAGAAACATACCTCATGCAAGTTGGCAAATGCTTCAAGCTAAGCGAAATATGTTTTTTGCGCAACCAGCACAAGCTGCTTTCTAAGCAGTGCTGCAAGGGGGCGCTATAACCTACAGATACCTGGATTGGACATTAAAAAAAACAAAAATCCCATTGTGGAGGGACCATGGTATCAGAATCATATCACTATCAGGAGGCCGTCATTTATCTTTACTGTTTATCGGCATTGGACAGATGTTTAGACCTGACCGATAATTCTTGAACATTTAGATTTGCACTCTGTCGCCCCCTTGAGTACTGAACTTTATAACTGGCATGGTAGCGTAAGAACATATGTTGAGTATGTACAATGTAACCGTGTGCTCGCAGTGTTCTGGCTGGGCAAAGTCATTTGCGTTTGGTATGTTTCTAGCCTTAATGATTCCTCAGTACATGATCAAGCACAGTATGGCTCTTCTCCATAACCATAAAAACCATATGGGGAGGTATATTTATGCTATATTACCAGTATTTAACGAAGCTAATGTTCCTTCTAAAAAAAATCTTCAGTCATTCAGAGCTGTTACATTGTCCTGGTCTATCAGCAAGCAATAGTCATAGATGAAGGCAGTAATATAACAAATATATACTTACATCCCATCAGCTATTACGAAGTGATATATCAGATAATAGCTAACCTAAGTCTTCATTTTTTACCAGAAATACTGTAGATACAATGTGTGTAAACATGTACATTTTTCAAAACGGCTGTTTTCTAACACTGATATTCTTCGTTGTGCATTTTGTGCTGTGTCTTTGATAAAATCTGACTTTCTTTTTATAATGCGAACATTGCTGACATACCAAGCCATGTTACGCTGATGGTTCTTTCCAAAGTGCTTCTTGGTCTGTGATTCCTGCACAGTTACTGAGGCACTTCAGCTGGCCAGCATTGCTATGCAGTGTGGGACACAGACTCTGAGGGAAAAATCGCCTTCATTCAGTCTCAAAACCCTGCAAATGTTCAACACTCAGCCGAAAAAAGCACCAGATGTCAGATTACACCCAAATCACGCCTGTATGCAGTGAACGGAAAACGAAAAACACTGAAAGTGCTGCGCTGAATTTACTCGTGTACATTGTTTCTACATGAATGAAATGATTATATTGAGTGAATTTTTCTTTTCCTGTTTATGTACTTTTGGAAAATGGGAAACCCTCACTGCCTTTTAGGGACTCATTTTTATCTGTATAGAAAGAATCACTGTAAAACAGCTACAAGCTTCAAATGAAACAGAGAATGTCTTTAACAAGCTTTAAATATCCATGTTTAATCTTGAGCAATGTGCATCACCAATAGCATAGGGTTAACATACTATTAGAAATCCCATAGGGGTGCTAGCAGAGATTACCATTATCATAGAGGTGGGTTTTTCTCATTTTTGACCACATTTTACTGTTTACCACTGCTTTTGGAAATAACTGTGCAGTTGTGTGTTTTATTCATGTAGAAACGATATACACATTAAAATTGTGTAAATTCAGTATAGCACTTTTTTCCTTTATATACTGTAACAAAGTTGAGCTAAAAAAAGACAATAGAGGAGATATACAGGAAAAATATAGACACGCTCTGCAGTAGTAATTTAACTCATTTTGCACACTCATCCCGTCCTGTTCTCTCTTTTTCTCACTTGTCCTCCTGTTCCCCCCTCCCCTCCCCATTTCTATCATTCTGTGTTAGTCGCTGGGCACCTCCTCCTGTATTTCCGGAAGACTTTTCTTCTCCTTCCGCAGAGTTTCGGTCAGCGGCCGTGCTGAACTGGGGGACTCCAGGTTTTTGGGTTCGTTTGTGTGGTAACTGCCCTTATACCTGTACAGGTAAATGTACATGCCATACAGGATCAGGAAGAGCAGCATCAGAGATACGGTGACAATCACTGTGGAGACACAAACACAGCAATCAGCAATTATTAACCTTGTAAAACCCTATCATAAGGCTTTGAATGAAGCAATTACAATGCAAAATGGTTATTCTTAAGCTACTGAAGTTATTATAAGTTATTAAAAAAGTTACATGTAATTAATACGTTGAGCCTATTGGTAAGTAGGCCTGGACAATTGGGCGATGTAATCAGATATCAGTATGTTTTCCGGAGTGTGACAGTCTGTCTGAGGAAAATTCTTAGCATTTTTCACATAGATTAAGAGTCCTGATGACTTAAATGAGTTGTAAATTTATGAAAATATGAAACTATAATACTTCAGTCTCCCATGGGCATTTATAGCTGAATTCCAGAGTGCTGCAACTCTGCCGATGGAAAACGCCTACTTTTTGTAATATGTAGAGCATGAGGACGTGGCTTTAGAGCTCACTAATTTAGAGCATATGCTGCAGTATGACGCTTCTCCAGCAGAGGGAGCTATTATAATACAAGCCATTGTGAACCCACACCAGCAGGAGCTTATTAATATCTGTGTTTCAAGTAACAACTTTCAAAACGATTTAAAAAAAAAATTGTTACTTAGGACTATATTATTTAATGTGATTTTCACTGAAGAAATCCACCAAACTAATTAATATTTTAAAAATATCACATAAGGTAAAATGAAATACACACAAATATTATTTTTAGATATGACCCAGGTCTATTGACAAGTGCTGGCTGTTTAAAGAGTTAATACTGTGCATAATATCTGTAGAGTATTCATGCAAATCTCTTCATGAGTGATGTTTGGTATGCTCATGTCCTACTGACTCATCCTCTGCATAGACACTGTACTGTATTTACTCGATTTAAATGTGTATATAATTTCCATATGAATAAGATATATTTGATCAATACTGTGATTGCCAAAAGTAAGTAAACTGAAAATATATATAAAATATATTTTATTCATCTGGAAATGTAATGATGTACATATCCATTTGAATTATGTTCAATGCTGTTTCTCAGTGCAGAGTCTCACAGACAGACTGGATGATTTCTAATCCCATACACACACACACACACACACACACACACACACACACACGTCTTTAATCTACTGCGGAATCTGTGCCCAACTGGCAAGGGGGATTATGTACGTGTGTTTGGCACATCACAGTCTAATCATCCTTGTTTATCCTGAGAAAGAGATATACAGCTGTATAAAACAAGGAGAATATTGGATGCTGGATGAGCGAACAAGAAAACAATTATGAGTGTGGTATAAAATGTGTACCCTGTATTTATTTAGTGGTTCAGTTTCTGTTGCATTTTTATGGTTTTGATAATATATTAAACCTATGCTGTCCTTTTAAAACAGTAAAGCACAAGTGAAAATTAAGCTAATTAATTGGGCTAATACATCACACAAACACAGCTATTCTCTCCAAAGTTCAGTGCACAATTTCTGTTTATATGCTAGTTTAACTGTTACGGGATGGCAGGGAGGCGGAACCGAGTGCAAAGATGAAAACCCGTGAAAAAGGGTGTTAAATAAATTTATTGAGGCAATGGAGTATGAATTTGGCATGTTGGGGTTGAGGTGGGGTTGAGGTGGGTCTGGGTCACCTCACCTGGGTCTGTGGAATTACCGCTGCACCACTGGGAAGCTTAGGCGACAGTGGGTAAAACACCTCAAAGAACACGAAATAAAAAGGCAGGAAAAAGGGCAAACAAAGGGAACGCTGAAAGCAGCGTGCTCAAACAAAGGCTGAACTAGAAACGTGAAATAAAAGATAATGAGAAAACAAAAATGACTTCCTCTGTAATTATGAGGGGAAGGCAGACTTTATGTTTCACTTGTTTGCTCTTAGTGGAGCAAACACCTTTTGTGTGGCTTGGAGGCGTTTGTAGCTCAAGCCTTCTTGTGGGGTTTTTTTTTGGAGTAGTTTTGGGGCAATTACTCTCTTCTGTTTTTTTCCAGCCCTCTTTTCTTTTTGTTTCTTTTTGTTTAAATACCCACCTGGGCTGCGTACCATACCGGTCACCCCTCTACAAAGGTGTGACAAAGGGCTGCTGTTTGCCACAGCCTTAAGTAGAGGAGTCCACAGGTGTGTCAGGTTGGGTCTAATCAGCCCAAGGGTTTCTGGGAATTGGAGTTCCATGAAGTTATGGCCCTTCGCCGCCGTCGCCCGCTGCTGGCGGCCGGCAGGGCAGGCTGGACACTTACGTTAACATATGCAAAGTATAAAATGTGCCATATTTTTGTGGCACAGGCCACATGTTATGTTTTATATTTGTTTCAAATTCAGCAAGTAAACAGTAATTGTGTATTAAAATGTGTAGAAGTGTGTTTTCTGTAGAGGATGTGTTAACTTCACTTCACAAAACATGTAATTTGAACACCCAGTCTTTTGTTTGCGACTGTCTCTATAATTTTTATAATTTTATAATTTTATAATTTTAATATAATTCTTGTCCAAGGAAACGTTTGACTCACATAAGCCGTTCTGTATATTTCATCACTTTTCTTTAAATACTTTGATACGAATAATTTAAATATCTTCAAAAACAATATTCTTCAGATTCTTTCATTTTCTGTTAATGATTGTAAGACACTTAACTTCTCATTCATTTAAATGAAATCAGTGCTGTCCATCTGATTTTTCACCAAACTATCCCTTTGAGCCTCATTTTCTTATTTCAGACAGTAGGAAATATCACTCGGTACACGTTACATAGAGTCTTCCACAGAAAGACTCAGGTTAATCCCAAAAGGCCACACCCTGATATGCTCAGGTCCAGTGCAATACTTCAGAGAGAGTAGAGTCAAAAACAGACAGAGAAATACAAACAAACAGGAGATCAGTAAATGAGAGAGAGAGAGAAAAAAGGGAGATAAGAGATGAGACAGAGAGAGAGAGAGAGGAGGGGAGGAGTTAAGAAAGAGGAAAAGAGAGAAAACAGACAGAATAAGAGAGAAATAGATGAGAAAAGGAGAGAAGAAGAGGGGAAAAGATAAGCGAAAGAGATGTGAAGAGATGAAAGAGAAACAGGTGAGACAGATAAAGATAATAGAAGATGAGATGTCAAGAGAGAGAGAAAGATTAGGAAAAAAAGGGGTAAGAGAGAAAGAGATTAGAGAAAAAGAGAGAAAATGATGAGAGAGAAAGAGATAAGAGTAAAAGATAAGAGAGAAAAGAAAAAATTATAAGAGAGAAAGTGATAAGAGATAAAAAGAGAGACAGATGAGAGTAAAAGATAAGAGAGAAAAAGAGAAAAAGATAAGAGTGGGATAAGAGAGAAGAAGATAAGAGAGAAAAAGATAAGCGAAAGATGAGAAGAGATGAAAGAGAAAGAGGCAAGATAGATGAAGATAAAAGACAAGATGTCAAGAGAGCGAGAGATAAGAAAGAAAAAGGGGTGAGAGAAAGACAGAGAGAGAGAAACTGAGAGCAGCAGATAAAGGGAGAGAGAGAGAGAGAGAGAGAGAGAGAGAGAGAGAGGTATAACTGGGTAAATTAAGGGCACAGAAGTGCAGATGAATAATTCAGTGAATGCGTGAATGTGAACACTTACACGTCATCCAGGGTGGAGTCACGTCATCATGAATATAATAAAAGACTGCGGAAAACAGATGAACACAGCTTCAGCACAGAGGACTAAACATCACGACCTGCTATGACCCTCACTATGACCTGACTCAGAGCAGAATGATTTATTTAAAAAGTTACCTTTTCAGGATATGCTTTACAGTTTAACTATCACATTATTACTATTACTATTAATCATATTTGAAGTACACTTATGTTCTAAAGTCTGGAAATACAGTTTCCAACAATATAAAACCAATTTGAGATGTAAAATTAATATAATGTGATGACAGTGCTTTGCAACCTCAAACCGAAAACTGCAACTGAAAAGGTGCATGCTGGGTAATTTAGTCTTACACAGTCCAGTGAACCACGGGTCATCCTCCCAGGGCACGTAGCCTAAGACTGGCGGGAACGCCCCACAGTTAGACTCCACTACATAGCCCTGGGTCGTCACAGGTGGGTTGGTTACATTGGGCCGGAAGTAAGCCTTTAATGGGGCAAAGATGTTGTAGCGGACCCCCGAAATACAGCCCACTAGACCGGGACTGTTGTGTCTTTGAATGTCGTAGTCAATGTCTCCAACCTCTGAGAAAGCAGAGCAAGGTCAGCATCAATAAATCAATCAGTTAATGAGTTTGTTACTGAAGATTTTCAGGTCATGATTTTTTATGTACCAAAAATAGTGGTAATTTTTTTTTACATGGCCATTTTCCAACCTCTCTTCTATTTTCGTACTCATTTGGAAATAAGCCTGTTAAATGCTGTTCGGTCCAGCCCTAAAACCTGGTAATCAACTGATAATTTTAATCAGGTGTGTCTGAGGGAAAATCAACAAAAAATGACTCCAGTCCTCCAAGACCAGAGCTGATCTCCCCTGCCTGAAAATTAAACATGCTGTTTTTGTTACTGTGCCTTTAAGACTGATATATGCAAATTAGCTCTGTTCTGATTGGCTGCCCTATACAGTGCCTCATTCAAAAAGCAGTCCAGGCTGAAATGTACAGAATAAACTGTTAAGTTCAGACTGAAATCCCAATGCATGTGGGAAGAAATCAACTTAAGCTGCTTCTGTGTTGATCCTTTGAAACACTGCAGTGATGCATTTGCTTCCTGACAGCCAGGAACAGTACAACGTTTAATCAAGCGGTCCCCAACCCTGGTCCTGGAAAGCTACCTTCCTGCAGAGTTTAATTCCAACCCGTGTCCAATAAGCTGCCCCGCCCCTTACATAATACTAATACATCTGTTCCAGCCAAACCAGGGACTTGTGGAGAGTTTGATTAGCTGGAGTAGGTGGTTGAAACTAGGCTCTGCAGGAAGGAAGCTCTCGAGGACCAGGGCTGGAGACCCCTGGTTTAATCATTTTCCCACATCTTTCACTCTAATAACTCTGCTACAGGCTGACTACAGGAGCAACACTCCATATCACTTCATCTTTAATGGGTGAGCCTCAGTGCTGTGGAGTGAATGTATGATCGTATGTAAATATATTCATGGTTATGACATCACAGCCATGATGAACTGACTATAAGATGTTGCTTATGATATTTAAGCTCTTAATGGTCTAGCTCCAGTATGTCTTACTGATATGTCAAAGCTTTATAGCTTGTCTCCAGACCACTTTATTCAGCTGAAGCAGGCTTACTGCAAATGCCCAGATCCCTTACAGCTCAGTTGGTGACAGATTAGGAATGCAAGCATGTTTTCTAATTCAGATTAAAAACTAATTTGTTTGAGTTCATATATACCTTAAATATTGTTCCTTATTTTTCCCATTTGTAATTGTGCTATTTGTGTTATTTTCATTTAGGAACACATCAGCATCTATAATTAGAGCTTTCTGCGTGCTGCCATGTTTTCTATGACTATATAAAAGATGCATGAGGCTTCCTCTATTGTTGGAAACACTGCGATTTGTTTACTAGCAACTATGTGAGCTCATTCAGAGTGCAATTCAAATCAGTAAGTGCTTATTATTGATTTGTTTAATCAGAGTAATGATAAAGCACAACTACAGGACAGAGAAGCCACATTATTGATGTGTTTAAACGGCAGAAATAGCTACATTTTTGCTTCAACATTAAAGGGTTAAAGAACATATTTGAATATGAGAGCCAGCCTTGTTCTTACCCATCACTCTGCCCAGAAAAATGGACTTAGGAGAGTCAAATCTGGGAATCTCCCCAAGAGTCAACCTCTCGACCCACGGCTCCATGTAATCCACCTAAAACACACTTTCGTATGAGCACATATTGACATGCACACGTGGTGTTGGTGCACTGTGTAAAATTCTTTAGTTTTTACCTGCATTCTGTGTTAATTCATACCTGAGTCCATACAGTGTAGTTGTGTCTGGTGATGTTGACAAAGTGAGGGAAGCCGTCAGCCAGGTTTCTGCTGGTCAGCTGAAATTTATGAGTTAACAAGCCTAGCCGGTACCTCAGAGACAGAGAGCCTGGAAAGAAAGTGACACAGTAAATATTTATGGTGGTGACAGAAATAAGTAAATTAAGCCTCCATCAAAAAAAACTTAGCAGCTGGAACTGTTGCACACACTTTCTTCACGGAAACAGTCTGAACACCTGAAAATTTATAGAGCTTGTCCTGTTCCTTGCTTGACGTGTGTTTTTTTTAGATTCCTGTTTTGTGCATTTATTCCTAATATTTTGTGCTTTGTTTTGTAGATCCAGTACTTTCTTAGGTAGTTTTCTTGTTTAGCCTCTCCTTTGTTTCTGGTTTTTCCTTGCTGCCTTCATCATGGACACCAATAAAACTATCAGCTTCCTACTTCCTTGTCTCCTTCATCCTCCAACATGTTACAACTAGTCTTAAGTGACAACAAAAGCATCTTTTAATTTTCTGTTTCATGCATTTGGCAGATTCTGCAATCCAGAGCCATTTACAATTTAATGATGTTACAGTATGAGGTGAATGTAGTGTTAGGAGCCTTGCCCAAGGACTCTTATTGGTATAGTGGGGTGTGCTTGCCCAGGCAAGACAGTCGAATCCCAGTGTGCTTCATGGAGGGAAACAGTGTTACTACACCAACTATTTTACATTAAACTATAAGTCGCTCTGGATAAGATTGTCAGCCAGAAGTGTCAATATAAACGTAGATATATATTTTTTTCTCACATTTAGCAAGCAGAGAAATTCTGTCAAAAGTGAGGATTCAAAACTTAAGTTAGTGTTTACAGTTTTACATTTTTGCCTTGATTTGGTAGTTTCTTAACCCTGTAAATGGCCAGGGCCCACCAGCAGGCCCAAAGTTTTATTACCCACTTCTATAATCTAAGAATAGCTCAGCTAGTTTGCTCTGGCGTCCCTGTAGTTACTAAATACTAAGCCTTGGTATGTAACAAGTCTGTGATTTTAAGGGGTTAACATAAAAAAAACAAAAACAAAAAGCAAAAAGTCAGAAGTGCAGACTCGAGCCTGTAGATGGAGAAGGAAAATCAAATGTATATGTAATTCTTGATGTAACTATGTAATTAATTATACAATCATACACACACACACATCATCTAAACCGCTTATCCTTCTGGGTCGCGGTGGGTGCTGGAGCCTATCCCAGCTGTCATTGGGCGGAAGGCAGGATACACCCTGGACAGGTTACAATCATACAATTATATGTAACTCTTGTAAAGGTTTTGTCAGTGTAAACTGTCAAAGAAAACGTTCATCTATTAAAATACGTACATTCACAAGCAAAGTGCACGCATGTGTGTGTGTGTGCGTGTGCGTGTGTGTGTGTGTGTGTGTGTGTGTGTGTGTGTACCATCTTTCTTGAGCAGAACAGCGATGTAGTCTTTATGAAAGGAGCTGATGTAGAGCAGGACTGCTGGGGTCTGCTGGGTGCTGAAGCTGAACTCGATGTCGTCAGTGGTGGTGTTGTAGCCCAGTGTGAAGTTGTGCCAGTGGGGCTCGATCCAGAAGTTAGCCCACCACGCATCATCTGGAATAGGCTCTTTACGGATGTCATAGCGCAGCCACGCCCCGACATCAAAGTACGCTCCAATGTCTGAGAGAGGAGACCGAGAAAAGAACGTACTGGTCACTGTTGCTACTACCTGTTATATAGCAGGGGTTGTGTACACTCTGGTTGCAAGACACACCTTTTTATTATTTACTTTTTCACGCAAAACACATTACATTTACCATTTGAAGCTTATCCCTGGCGGTGATGAAAGTTTTCACTCATAGCTCTTTGAAACAAGTGAAAATGGTGAAAGTGCAGGTTTAAACTTTAAACTATGAAACTTTGAAGTGAAGAAATAATAATGTCTTCTACGTTTTTGCCATGTTTTTGTTATTGTTTAGCATCGACACAAAGCAAAGTTAGAAGTACCAACTCAAAGCTGTTGATACAAAATGTCAATCAAATATAAATTAAGTCATTACATAACTAACTTTAATTAATTATGCAATTACTAGGAGTGTAATGATTCACAAAATTCATCATTTTAAACAAAATTCTGTGTATCTTGATTTAATACATTTAAGTTTATTAAAGCACTCAATATTACAAAGGTGCGGTATGTAAACAAATCTGTTTCATAGCTTAACATGCTAGCTATGAGCTAATGTGTTAGCCCCAAGCTAACACTCTAGCTACAAGCTAAAATGCTAGTCACAATGCAACGATATGGTTAGTGTAATGCTGTATTGTACTGAGTAAATCAAATGTGTAGCAAAATGATGTCGGAGCACAAGTCTAGACTTCTAATCATATTAGGCACATATTTGGACAGGTTATGACAGATTAGGGTGAATCAGATAAGGGATATGTTCCCTTTGAACATAGATTTCCACTATTTTTGCTTCTGGCAGCTCTTTGGAACATATCTAAATCCACAAAATAGACTTCAGCATTGATCCTGAGTTACACAGACAGATTAACCGCACATAACACGGCTTGCACACAAACGCCTAAACTCGTTATTCTCCATTGATTTTCAATGCTCAAATTAAATCCACTTAATCTTGATTAGATTTAGTTATATGAGATCTAATGAAATGATGCTACAGAAGCATGGCGGTATTAAATAGCCATGCCAGTGGCTGTTAATAAGGAGCGTCACAGTAAAACATGATTCACTTCAGAATGAGGATTTTGGTGACATAAAATATTACCAACCAGATTAGTTTGAATAACACGCTGATTCACAGATCAGACAAATCCTTCTGACCCAGACCGAGTCACTGCAGCTACAACATTAGGACATTTCTGCGAATAGTAGTCTTTAAAATTGTTGTTGTTTGAACAAAACCGAATATCTACAAAAAAGTAACTTTGCAGGTGAAGGAAAATGGAAGTTCATATAAAAAGATTTTATTTGGAGTCATTTTGGGCCATTTCTGTCATGATCCATTCACCATGAACTTTCACACAAAGTAAAACAGCAATAAATGATGCAAGATTTTGTTCAAACAGAGACAATATGATACTCACTTTTTTTAAAAAAAAGCTAATTGTCTCCAAACCTTTGACGGGCAGTGTGTCTGTGTTGTCTTACCTAAGTGGCAGTAGTAGCCGTCAAAGGCTGTGTTGTTGCAGTCGCAGGTGTATGACGCATAGCCGTCGATGCACTGGCCTCCGTTTCTGCAGGGTATTGAGGCGTTTAAACACGCTCCTGTACAGTTCCTCCTGATCCCGTTCCGCTCGTCCACTTTTCCTTCCAGATCCACAGGAACCCCGTTCATCCGCAGGCCACGCAGACAGCCCAGGAACGGCCGCAGGGTGTGATTAGCAGCACCTGCACACAAGGTGTTTTAACATGAAGATCAATTATAAATAACAAATGAGATCTTTTAGGAGCTTTTTAGCTCATCACAGGATACAGCTCAGATTAACGCATGTGGCAAAATGACCAACATTAAATAAACATGCACTTACATATCTACAGCGTACATTTGAGAGTGGAATAACTACTGTTTTTTCAAAACCCCTACTACTATAATTGATTCAGTAACTGCTGTAAATGATTCAGCAGCTACTATAACTACTATAAGTTATTCAGTAAGTACCATATATTATTCAGTAATTATTACAAGTGATTCAGTACTATAAATGATTCAGTAACTACTGTAAATGATTTAGTAACTATTATGCATTATTCAGTAGTTACCGCAAATGAATGCAGTAACTATTATAAATTATTCATCAACTACTATAAATGATTCAGTAACTACCGTAAATGATTCAGTAACTACCATACATTATTCAGTAATTACAACAATTGATTCAGTAACTACTATAAATTATTCAATAACTACTATAATTGATTCAGTAACTACAATAAATGATTCAGTGACTGCTATAAATGATTCAGGAACTGCTGTAAATGATTCAGTAACTACTATACATTATTTAGTAATTACTACAAGTGATTCAGTAATTGCTATAAATGATTCAGTAACTACTATAAATGATTCAGTGACTGCTATAAATGATTCAGAAACTACTATAAATGATTCAGGAACTACTGTAAATGATTCAGTAACTACTATAAATGATCCAGTGACTGCTATAAATGATTCATTAACTACTATAAATGATTCAGGAACCACTGTAAATGATTCAGTAACTACTATACATTATTCAGTAATTACTACAAGTGATTCAGTAACTGCTATAAATGATTCAGTAACTACTATAAAAGATTCAGGAACCACTGTAAATGATTCAGTAACTACTATACATTATTCAGTAATTACTACAAGTGATTCAGTAACTGCTATAAATGATTCAGTAACTACTATAAATAATTCAGTGACTGCTATAAATGATTCAGAAACTACTATAAATGATTCAGGAATTACTGTAAATGATTCAGTAACTACTATACATTATTCAGTAATTACTACAAGTGATTCAGTAACTGCTATAAATGATTCAGTAACTACTGTAAATGATTCAGTAACTACTATACATTATTCAGTAATTACTACAAGTGATTCAGTAACTGCTATAAATGATTCAGTAACTACTATAAATGATTCAGTGACTGCTATAAATGATTCAGAAACTACTATAAATGATTCAGTAACTACTGTAAATGATTCAGTAACTACTATAAATTATTCAGTAATTACTACAAGTGATTCAGTGACTGCTATAAATGATTCAGAAACTACTGTAAATGATTCAGTAACTACTATACATTATTCAGTAATTACTACAAGTGATTCAGTAACTGCTATAAATGATTCAGTAACTACTATAAATGATTCAGTGACTGCTATAAATGTATCAGTGACTACTATACATTATTCAGTAATTACTACAAGTGATTCAGCAACTGCTGTAAATGATAAAAATCTGATGCTGAGCAGGCTGTTACAACTATCGTAACCAAAAACCACGCAGAACTGTTTTCGCACCTACGAGCAGGGGTTGGGTAAACTGCATGTTGATGTAAGTCTGGCCAGGAAGCTTGTGTATGGCTGGAGGGAAGAAGTCCACTTTGAGACGCGCCATTTTAGGGTTGATTTCTGCCTCCACGTAGTGCCACTCGTTGTCATTCAGAGCCTTTGGAGTGCGCAGGGTCACGTTTCTGATCCCATCACCCACCATGAAGATGAATATCACCTCAGTAGTGGCTGAGAGAGAGAAAAAGAAAGCGAGAGAATGCAGTGAGAGAGTGCATATTTCAAAAGGCTGAATTAAAAGTGAATTAAAACTTTTTCATTTTCTAACCTCTCCTACTTTCTTGACTCCAGCCTGTTAAATCTATCTATTTCCCCTTTATTTACCTCATTGCTTACAATATAATGAGTGGGGTGTGTCTTAAATGCCTGGGTGGTATCTGATGCATCATTGACTAATCACTCTGCACTCCAGGATACAGCAGAACCACAAAAGAGGTCTCCAGGTCTGAGAATGAGAAAACATGAACACTCACAGTTCAGCTCGATCCTGATGAAGTTACGCAGGTGGTCGTCAGAGTTCTCCAGGAAGACCCCGTTGGTGCGGTAAGTCCTGAAGTGGAAGGTGATGTCAGCACTGTTGCCAGGTCTGAAGGTGGGGAAGGTCAGGTAGGTGGGCTTAGTGATGGCAATGGTGTTCCAGATGCTTCCTGTAAGAGGGGACCAAGAGAAGAAAAGCTAAATTGCCTTCAGGAAATAAATAATGAACTACACTGATAGAGACAATAAATACTGGACTACCTACAGGAGGGTGGGACATTAAAGGAAAAATCAACATCAAGTGTCTCATTAAGGTGCTGGACCACCATGAGCCACCAGAACAGCTTCAGTGCACCCTGTCATAGATTCTACACATCTGGAGGGGTGGAACATCGTTCTTCCAAAAGATATTCCCTCAACTGATGTTTTGATAATGGTGGTGGAGAGGACTGTCTATCATGAGAGTCCTAATTCTCCCTTAGGAGTTCAACTGGGTTGAGATGTGGTGAATGTATGATTTACATAATTTTCATACTCTTTAAACCATTCAGAGACCCCTCGTGCCCTGTGAATGGAGGCACTGTCATCCTGGAAGTGGACCACTCTTATCTGGTGATCTGTCAGAAAAATATTGTATTGCTTTGCTGTAATTGTTCCCTCAAAGCCAAGGGTGTGAAAGTGGGTTCCTCCTGGGCTGCAGCTTTGCAGAGATTAGCGTTTTACATCTGGTATCAACTCACAGAGATCTTGCTAAGGAAGGCCTGAGATGGAACGTTACAGTCTACAGATTTTTCATCCTGACAGGACTGAAGTCTGACATGCTCTAAGGCCCATGTGTCAAACACAAGGCCCGCGGGCCAGGTCAGGATCAGACGCAATCATTTTAATTGAGCATTTTAATTTTCTATTAATATGAATATGTTTCACAATGCACTGCACTACAGTCCCCAGCATGCACTGCAATGTAATGTGCGCTCTCATACCCCAACAACAATCTATGGGACAGCGGTTACACCTCAGTTCTACACAGTTCCACACAAGTCGTATCAGCAAACAACTAACTGCAGTTCATCCAATATAAGCATCCAACATCAGCTCAGAAATTGAGCCCAAGTCTTAATAAACCTGCAGCAAAGGAAGGATGGCAGATGTCTAGCTCAAGCAAATAGGTATGTTTAATAGACTGAGCTCCTGGGGACGTTTAAATTCTGAATATTTCAAGTATTCATGTAATATTTGAAGATCTACTACAAGTGATTATATTTTACTGTTAATGTTTTTGCATATTTTTTAAATAAAAAATGTTCCATTCGGTTTATAGCAAAATGTGAATTAAAGATTAAATAAAACATAGATGTTCTCTGGCCCACGGATTTGTTTGACACCCCTGCTCTAACGGGACAAGCGGACCCAAACCATGCCAACAAAACACCCCCAAAGCTAAATAGAGTCAGTGATCCCCCTCGCTGCAGGGGTACAGCATTCAGGCCTGAACCATTCCACTGGCCAAACATGGACTTGCCCACTTGTGGAGCACATGGTGAAGTAGAGGTGGGCAATATGGCAAAAATGTAATATCAGAAAACTTCAAGACATTTACACGTTACACGATATGTCACAATATTTATTTTTCCTATTTTTAGTTTTTCAGACAGTGCTGTAGTCCAGTGCTATGAGGGGTTTATGCACTGCAGCTCTACTGTAATGTCCCTCTCTATGAAGTTATGGACTGTTAATACTGACATGGTCTGATCACGTCCTGCACTGACATTCTTAGCCACCTGAGGAAAAGCTGCTTCTCTGTTTTCCTTACAAACCGCTCTAATGCACCAGCATCACATTTACTCAACGTGTGCTTTTAACCACAATTTCCAAACGTATTTACTGAAGTCTTTCCCACAGATCTACACACAGATGTCAATTTAATCACTGTTCCTCCTGAAGCACTGGCAAATCTCCTGCCATCCGTTCCCCAAGAATGAAACCTCTTTCAAAGGCACTTTGAAAGGCCAATTGTGCTCTCTTGGACTCCCGGCTATGAACGGCTGTAGCATCACCAGGGACAGAACCCGTGATCTCCTGATGATAGGGCCAACGCTTAGATGCTTGCTCCACTCGGGAGCCCCAAAATTTTTGGCTTTTACAAAAATGATACTTTTTCTGCAAATGCTGATGCACAGTTACTCTTTATTTAATTAACTTCAAAAATAGAACAATAAATTCATAATTAAGACGTGCAATATTTTGGACACCTCATTAAGTCAGCGCTTCGTAACACTCCCTTTGGCAGATATCACAGCTTCGTAGTCTTTCTAATCTGGTTTTAGGAATTTTACCCCTTCTTCAAGTGTCTCTTCTAGTTCTGCAATATTCCTGCTTGCATGGCATGTTTAAGATCTACTCACAAATTTTCAGTGATGTTCAAGTCATGTGACTGTGAGGGACATTCCATGTACTTTATCAGTCCACATCACTTGTTTCCAAAATGCCTCTGGCTTACCTAGATGTTGTTTTGCATACTTCAGACACTGACTTTTGTGATGAGGTTAAAGTTCAGGTTTCCTTCTGATAAGCCCTCTATGCAGATCATGTTTGGCAAGCAATACTTCACAGCAGAATGGTGCACCACCACTCCTGTGTCAGTAAAACCTTCCTGCTGTTCCTTTGCTGTCATATGGGGATTTTGCTTTGCCTTTCTAGCCAGTATACGAGCAGTTCTATCTTGCCCTTTCAGATGTTACCTTGGTTTCCACAGTTCCCCTTAATTGTAATTTCGTAATGACATTTCAGTCAGTGGAAATTTTGAGCTGGAAGTGCTCTGATAACTTTTTACAGCCTTCTTCTGCTTTACAGGCATCAGTTAGCTTAATTTTCAGATCCTCAGCCAGCTGCTTAGAAAAGCCCATGGTTGTTGAAAGTTAGAAGAAAGTTTGAACAGTCAGAGAATTTATTACACTTTGGAATTGTCACCAGCTAAACAAAGCCTAATGAGTTCTGAGACTTTACAATTAGAAGTGTGTCCAAACTTTTACACGTTATTTACAATTTACTATTTTTTTTCTATTTTCAAAGTTAAAATAATGGTATAATAAAGTAACTGTACATCGACATTTACAGAAAAAACGTTCTTTTCTTAATGGTTTGCTGCAGAGGTTATGTTTACTTCTTTTCACTTCAAAAATCAAAAGAAGTTATTTGACTAGGGGTGCTCAAACTTTTGCATACAACTCTATCCTATTTGTGTTTGACTGGTTAATACTGTGGTGTAAATGGTACAGAACAATGCATTTCGGGTGGAGACGGGAGTTTGGAGGGTACAAACTATTCGCCTCAAGTGGGTGCATCCCCTGCGGACGATGTTCTTCATCTCTTTATGAAAATAAAGGAAACTTCTCTGTTTTATTCGACTTCAATTTAAGTACTTTGCCACCACAATATCTAATACTCACGGTCTCCATAACAGCGCAGTGGTCCTACGCTGAAGTGGGCCTCCGAGCCAGTACGGTTCGTGTCACCAATGACAACTCTCCTCACAGGCAGGTGGTCTCGGAACATCACATAGCCCTTATCAGCGTACCTTAAACAGAAGAACCAGGCAGAGATGTCTACATGTATCACAGGTCTACACAATCTCATATGATTGGCTGTAGAATTCTAGTCCAATATCGAGATGTTTTGTCTTGGACATGTTTTGGACTCGGCAGTATTTGTACTCATCCTTGTCTCAGACACTGGTACCTGCCACCTGGTCACAGCCAAGTTCAATTACTATTTACAAAAAGAACACTTTCTTCCTTTTAACTGTCACCAACACTCACTCAGGAGCAGACTTTGCAGTAGGTAGGCAGGCGCCTAAGGCCCCCATTAGCCTAGGGCCCCATTAAAATAGATATTGTATGTAATATATAAATATATATATACACATGTTCAAAATAGCTGTTACTGGCAATTACAGTGATTATTTTCAGTAATTTCAATGTAGCTCCACCCTACGGTCGTGGTTGCTTTTCCATATTGTTACGTGATGACACAACTGCATAAAGACAGACTAGTATGAAAAAGGCAATTAAATGATAATTAAGTGATAATTACTAAAAAGGAATTTGTTACAACTTACTAATCTCTTCTAGTGAACTATGATGGGAATACATTACTTATTGTTTCTTGGAAAAAAATGACTCATTCCTTTATTTCTTTGTTATTAAGTATCAAATTATCTCACTATATTGTCAGATCATTTTGCTTGTTTCAAGCACATTTCTTAAAATGAGCTTACTCATTTTCACTTCATCAGATTAAGTAAAAATGTCTGAAAATAAGTTAAATAATCTTGTATTATTCTTACAACAATGTCAAAATGACAAATATTATACACCAATCAGGCATAACATTATGACCACCTCCTTGTTTCTACACTCATTGTCCATTTTATCAGCTCCACTTACTATATAGGTGCACTTTGTAGTTCTACAATTACAGACTGTAGTCCATCTGTTTATCTGCATACTTTGTTAGCCCCCTTTTACCCTGTTCTTCAGTGGTCAGGACCCCCATGGACCCTCACAGAGCAGGTACTATTTGGGTGGGGGATGATTCTAAGCACTGCAGTAACACTGACGTGTTGGTGGTGTGTTAGTGTGTGTTGCGCTGGTCTGAGTCAAGCTCACTCAAGCTGTTTAGGGGTTTGGCCAAAGCGAAATGGAGCAGAAATACAGCTTCGGTTTGTCTCAATGGCAAACAGAGCTGAGCTCCGGTGCTGTAAGCTAATGGGAATGTAAACAGTTTGGCATAACATCTTTGTGAAATCTACTGAAGTATTTACAGTGATAAAAATCCGTCTCCAAGTTTGTTTTTGGTCTTTGTTTAAACGGTTCTCCTCATATAGTGCAGAGTGTAGTGACAGTGTAAGTACTGATTGGTTCTATCTGTATTGATCTGGTACTATTTCATGACCTCTTAACTAGATAAAGATATTTGTTTCAATTTCATTACTACTCAACAAGTAGCCTGGATTATTGGCTGGTGTTTATCCTGTTAAATCTGAAAAAATTCAAAGCATTCTGGAACAGAGACGTCTAGTCAAGTTTCTGTTGGTCTGTTACATGTAAATGTGTCTTTACTGAATTTGATAGCCTGGCTGGCATAACTGTGATGTTTATTCTGCTGTTTTGCTAACTGACTGTTGCAAAGTCAGTTAGTAAAACAGCAAAATAAACATCACAGTTTCACCAAGAAGCTGAAGGAGTTATTTTAGCTAACAGTGTTTGTAATTTAATATTAGTGATATAATATGTCTAATCTAATATTTCTAAAATAGAGATACATTGGTTTTGTTATGATAGGTAGGAAGGCTAGAATTATTACATTAGTTTGAAAAGCATCTTTGATTTTGAAATTTGATTGGATGGCACTGAACTATTAATCAACCATTGATTTAGACTGAGCATTAGTTGCATTAATTCAGAATGGGCTTTGGTTGGATTCACTCTGGACATTAGGTGGATTCACTCAGAGTGGGCGTTGGGTGGATTCATTCAGAGTGGGCGTTGGGTGGATTCACTCTGGACATTAGGTGAATTCATTCGGAGTGGGCGTCGGGTGGATTCATTCATTAGACAGTAGGTAGATTCATTCGGAGTGGGCGTTGGGTGGATTCATTCATTATAGACAGTAGGTGGATTCATTCGGAGTGGGCGTCGGGTGGATTCATTCATTATAGACATTAGGTGGATTCATTCAGAGTGGGCGTCGGGTGGATTCATTCATTATAGACATTAGGTGGATTCATTCAGAGTGGGCGTTGGGTGGATTCATTCAGAGTGGGCACCTGTTAGACTCTTTTAGCGCGGGCACTGGCTGCATTCATTTAACACAGGCATTGATTGCATTCAGAGTGGGCACTGAATGCAAAGAAACTTTCAATCCCCACCACGTTTGTGTTTGTAAGTCGAAGAAAATCCCTTCTTCATATTTTTCCAGTAATTTGTACTGGAAGGAGGTAATGAAAGGAGACTAAGTAAAGCTTGGTCTTGAAGGAGAATTGGTTCCTGGGTTTTGGTCTTGACTCAGTCCCAACTAGTCATGATCTTGGACTTGTCTTGGTCTCAACAAAGGTGGTCTTGACTACAGCCCTAGTCCATATGAATTTCTTCAGGTTTCGTTGAATTGGTGTCATTTTCAAAGGACTTTCATTCCAATAACTCCTTGTCAAATGTGATAAGGCCTAATGCAGGGACATGAATTCTCTTTTCGGGAGGCCTCTTCTGGGGAAATTGGGAATTATCTTAACTCACGAGTCTGACATTTTCATTTGTTTGTTCATTGATTTATCCATTCAGTCTCATGCATGCATTCATTCATTCTCACTCTTGCTCCCTCTCACCACTGCCGGTAGTCTGCATCACAGTTGCACCAGAACTTTGAGTCAGTGCAGGTTTGATTGATGGCACAGCCACACTTGCCGCTCTCAGGGAAAGAACCACCCCAGTAATCATGACTCTCATTATGACGACCAATCCAGTATGTGTAAGGCCTTCCATCTAAGTCAAGAAGAGAAGATGGAAAGGTACTATTATTAGTCTTGTCTCATACACCTTTTCTATTATTCATGACCATAAAATGACACACAGGCCAGTGTCAGTTACATAAATCAACTAAACATCAGTTCATTTTGGTAAATCGTTACAGTTCCGGAAATCTGCTCTTTTAAAAAAGGTGTTGCCTAGGGGTGTTACAGGGGAACTCCACAGATGTTTCAAAATTCCTGCATTAATTCAGTCATTGTGAACAAAAGTCATTCAGTGTGGTTTGATGTGAAATGATGCATCGTCGAGCACCTTTCCTATCCTGAAGTATTTAGAGTGGTGGTGATAGAAACCAGACGTCTGACGAGTTTAATGCTTCTAAAACCTCCCTCACAGAATACTTTGACACCTGGAACACCGTTGTTTGACATTTTTGAGATAAGATTTCGGTCAAAAACATATTCTTAGTTTGAATACATTTAGGACGGAGAGATACTTGCAGGGTGTTAAAAGGAAAAACAGCCCCCAAAAAACATTTTTCATACGCATCACTATTTTATCATCATCTATATTAACGATCTATATGAACAAAACTAAGAACAACATATTATACATAATATATATGTATATATAATTTTTTTTCCAACCTCTGGTTCCTATCACTACCACTGTAAAGAAGTCAGAGTTGCTCTATAATGAACCATTTCACATTTCACATGAATCACTGTGAACTACTTTGTTTATATGTCAGCTGTTTAATTTTGCAGAGATTTTTGAAGTCTGAATGTGGCAATTCAATTGCACCAATTTTAGAATGTTATAATCAATTAGAACTGATTATAATAATTTCTGTAATCTATGTGCTCATTTTTTGGCCTATTATTTTTGAAAATCCACAAAAAGTTTGGCGTACTGTTTTTGCTGTCTATATTCCACTACAGGTTACAGTCACATTTGTGCAATTACTTGATTTTTAAATATAATTCGAAATCACAAAAATACTGAATTAAATTTTGCTGAAATTTGCAAAGCCATGATGCCATGAATTGTGATCAAATCTAAATCGACATGAGATCAGAGATTTAAACCGCTGGACAGATCTACTGCATTAACGTCAGCCAATAGCCTCACTTAAAACCAATCACTGGCGTCAGTAGAGTCCAGTCGGATACTTACGTGGCGTGTTTAGGAGGCGGGACTTGTAGCATGAGAACTCGATCCATTGTTCACAATATAATGACGTGTTGGCCAAAGCAGTGACTTCGTCCCACGAAGCGTTCACATACCGTAGATCCCCTATGTACGGTCGGTCCACACTGGAGCCAGTTACCTTAGTGCTGTCAATACGGTTGTGCTCAATAATCGTCCAGGCTCTATTCACTAAAAGGAAGTAGACAGAAAACAAAAGAACTCACAGGATCAGAGCCAATGGCCCATGTTTTTACCGCCATTATCTGGCCAAAAATCCAATTTACACAATTACACAGTACACAATCTACAAGACTGAACACCTGGACTGCTCGGCACTTAAAGCTTCAAATGGTGGTGACCGGGTAGACAAAGCCTCAGTAATTGTTTGGGAAAGACTGAGGTTTTATTTTCTCTGCCACAAAATAAAGAAACCTCATTACCTATATTGTCTTTGGGCACCATTTAACGCTGTACGAACCTGGCTTTGCTTGTTTTCTTGTAGTCGTGAATTAATTACCTAGCTCTTCCACAGGAAATGAGTTTGCACAATTGCCTGAACTCTGTAATCTAGTTTAAAGTGCTGCTTTTGGCACAAAATACTCTTTCCCTGTCTCATATACAGGTTAAATGATCTCTGAAACAGACTGAGTGGACTTTAACTGCCAGACAGGCAGGGATCAGTAAAATGTGACCTAAATGAATAATGCAAACAGGATATTAGACTATTTTAATCTGATCTTGAACATTTACTTCTAAAACTTACCCTGAGGTTATGTGAGGTCATCTAAAGTGAGACAAGTTAATAAGAGGCAACATGGGGTAATGTGAGGTGATGTGAGATGAGGACACGTGAGATGACGTAAGGGTAAGGAAATATGCAGTGTTTTAAAGAAAATGCAGGTAAGGAAACTTGAGAAAATGTGATGTAAGGTAACATGACGTGTGATTTAAGGTAACATGATGTGGGGCAAGATGAGTTGACAGGTGATGAGGTGAAGAAACGCGCTAATGCTAGAAAATGTAAAGTGGCAAAAAAACAAGGTAACATGAGAAGGAAACGTAAGGAAATTTGAGGTGAGGAAACATGAGGAAATGTAAGGTGCAGTAACGAGATGAGGAAAAATCAGTTGACAGGCTGTAAGGTGTGATGTGACGTGAAATGGGAGGTGATCTGAGGAAATTTGAGGTAAAAAGTTGAGGAAACAAAGTGATGTGAGGTGACATGAAGTGAGGAAATGTGATGTGAAGTGAGGCGAGTAAACGAGGAAATGTGAGGTAAGGTTACATGAGGTGAGGCAGCATACTGTTAGAAAGTGTGAAGTGAGGAAACATGAGGTAAGGAAATGTGGAGTGATAGGAGGAAATGTGAGGTGAGAAATCGAGGAAATGTGAGGTGGGGACACATGAGTTGACATGAGGTGTCGTGAAGTGATGAAACATGAGGTGACGTGAGGTGACGTGAGGTCAGGAAACGTGAGGTGCATGTGAGGTGATAAAAGTTGAGGAGACAAGGTAATCTAAGGTGACATGAAATGAGTTGTGATATGAGAAAACATGGGGTGAGGAAATGTAGGGCAGGGAAACGTGAGGAGATGTGAGGAAACGTGAGGTGAGAAAACGTGAGCTGATGTGAGGTAAGGAAATGTGGAGTGAGGTGAGGAAATGTGAGGTGAGAAAACATGAGGAAACGTGAGGTGGGGACACACGAGTTGACATGTGGTGCTGTGACGTGATGAAGCATGAGGTAACATGAGGTTAGGACACGTGAGGTGCATGTGAGGAAACGAGGTGATAAAAGTTGAGGAAACGTAATGTGAGGTGACATGAAGTGGGGAATTGTGATGTGATATGAGAAAACATCAGGTGAAGAAATGTGAGGTGAGGAAATGCGATGTGATATGAGGAAACATGAGGTGAGGAAATGTGAGCTGACGTAAGATGAGGAAGCATGAAGTGAGGAAACCTGGGGAGGCAACATGTGAGGCAATGTGAGGTGACATAAGGTGGGAAAACGAGCAAACATTAGGAAGCGTGAAATGAGGAAACGAGGTAAGAAAACGTGGAGTTAGGTGAGGAAATGTGATTAAATGTCATGAAGTGATGAATGTGAGGAAACAGTAGGTGATGAGAGCTGGAATGAGACAGTGTGAGGTGACATGTGGTGAAGATATGTCTTACTCTTCATCTTGCAGTAGACGGTGAAAGGCTTCAGCGGGCCACTCAGGTCAGGGTCTATGGTGTAGTTGCCTGACCAATACTTTCCATTCAGTCTGTACGCTTCACATGACTCTCTATAGACCGCTGTCAAGATAAAAGAGAGAAATCACTTATTTTTAGTAGCACAGACACATCAGACTAATACTCATATGTATCATCCCTGAAACTCACAGTTATGACAGACTTCCCCTTTGTAGCCCGTGTTGTTGCAAATGCACAAGAAGTCGTTCCAGGACTGAATACACCTGCCCTCATGTTCACATGGGTTTGGAGTACACCTGAGAAAACACAAGCCATGACGTCATGACAGGGTGTTAATTCACCCACAGCCCCTAATGTGAGTAACAGTCCAGTGAACGTGTCCGAATCTCAGCTGTCTGACCAGTCTTTGAGCGGCAGCATATAAATCTGATGTGTTCCTCTTTATGTCTCTAGTCTGTCACTCCTGAGTGATGAGCCTCATCACCTACATTATTATTCCTCTGTGAAGTAAAAGAGCAGCCTTGATCCCATCAGATACAACCATACAGAAGCTGGGGGGGAGCAGACAGACAGCTTTATCATACGTGAGGGCTCAGAGGAATACTGGTGTGACATCTAAGCCATTGCTCAACAAACCTTCAAGCCTGAATCTCTGGCAATTTTGTGTGATTTGTCTGTCAGTCAGTCAGAATTGTGGGATTAACCCATTAAACTCACAGCTGTAATTAGCAGTAACACAAACATGGTGTAATTCAATACTTATCTCGCACTCATAGCTTGAAACATGTAGAGGACTACTGTTGAAAGAGTGGAGTAGCTAAAAATGAGTGTTTGTACACAGGGTTAAACTGGGGTTGCCTTCTAAGCCACAGCTCTGCAGATATTTGCATTCTGATTCAACTCGTCAGCTAAAAGCCTTAATGAGACATTTTTGGAGTGTCAGAAGAGAAAAAAATCATTTTGGTAGGAAAATGTCTGAGTTTTTCTATGTCTCAGGAGAAACGAAGCAGATATCAGCATTGCATTAATGAAGGATTAATAACTTGCGCATTTGTCCTGCTAAATCCCCCTTTAGGAGAAAAAAGGAGATTAACATGAGCATTTCACTGTAAGATAAATTAGAAAAGAGTTCGTCTTCTACACTGATTGACTGAAGGAAGTGTTCTGAGATGTAGAACTCGGCTACGTAAGAAAATGACGAACTCAATCTTTTAACATACGTATTATTCAGACTAAGACTGTTAATTAATCTGTGAGACTATATTGAGATTAAAGTGAGAAAATCAAGAGTGTTGTTTCTCAGGAGCTACATTTCAGAAACGTGGAAACTGCTGAAGTCTCACATTGATTTCGAATTGAATTTAAGAATGAGAAGTAAATGAGATATAAAAGAGATGACAATTAGAGTAAGATACTTTCTCTAGGTAGACGAAGCACTTTTTGTAAGTCGCTCTGGATAAGAGCGTCTGCTAAATGCTGTAAATGTAAATGAGTATTTTCCCCCAGACAGTTTACCCAGTTTCACATCCCTGTGTTGGAATATATTCTACATTTCTGACACATTTTTGCCTTAAAAGAGGAAAAATATTTCGTACAATATCTTTCATACAACAGCTTGTCGTGGTTTAGGCACGTATGGCTTAAGTTTGCAGTTTGAACAAAGCTAATTAGTGATAATACGCTTCCATATTTGTTAGCTACCTTAGCCCTTATAGCTTCAGTACAAAACTAAAGAAACAAACTTCACTTCATTAACATCTCAAGATTGGTAAATTCAAGTGGCTGCAGCAATGATTGTCACAGACACACAACTACTGAGTGATACATACTTGCATGAGAGTAGATGGACCTTAACTGAAGCAAGGACCACATGGGATTATTTCCAATTTAAGACAGTAGTAAAAAATGCTCCCTGCAAAAAAACTTTCTACAGGCGTTCCACAAATAGGTGCACAAATGAGCAGAATGAAGACGTTAGCCATCCTTCTGCATCTCCCGCTACGTTGTCAGCTACAGTCTGAGTTAACGTTAGTGCAGGTTGTTACAGAGGGAGCCGACGTTAGAGAGACCCCAGAGGGAAAAAAAATCTGTCTTAAAATTGTCTCAGAGAAATAAAGCAGATCTCAGTATTGTATTAATGAAAGATCGGTGATTTCTAAACCCCCCTTAGGAGAAAAGAGGAGATTAACATCAGCCTTTGATGTTCTGGTGATGAATGAGAAAAAAATTTGTTCTCCTTTTGCACTGACAGATCTCGCACTTTTCTTATGGCAATATTATTCAGCTCAGACTGGGGTGAGACGAGTCAGACTCTAAAGAGTTAAACCACATGTGTGACAATATTTTGATAAAAGTGAGAAGTTTTATGTCTCAGGAGACAAATTTCTGAAACAGCAGAAAAAGTCTCACTCTGATTTCAAACTGGACTTAACCACGTCTAGGAGAAGTACCCGAGATAAGTGAAGATCTCATTTAGAATATTTCTTTCCTCTGGTACACATCGAAAGAACTGCCAGTCTCTTGGGGTAACGACAGCCTTTAGCCTAGGGTTAGCCTTAAGGATACCCGTTAGCCACTTCTGCACCATCTGCAGTGTCATTTTGTCAGTCAGGTGCATCCAACAATGGCCTTGCATCAAGCTGAAATCCATGGCTCAACAGCTGCTACTGGCAGCGTAAATGACAGTGATATTCACCAGACTCCAGGAGTGCCTGATGCTGGGTGAGAGAACGGGGCGTATGAGCCATTTAAAAACATTTAGCACAATTTTTGCCAAGCCAGAGAAGCTGCTGTGTACTTATGTGTAAGACTGTCTATTTTGGAGATACGTGATTTTGTTTCAGCATCAATGAGATGTGTACACACACACACACACACACACACACACACACACCCACATATATATTAGGGGAGGGAATCTCTAGGCACCTCACAATTCTATTCGATTACGATTCAGAGGGCTGTGATACAATTATAAAACAAATATTGACGCATCTTTTTTTTCTATTTCTGTTTTCTCACTGTGTGACAACTTGGAACTTTTAAAGTAAAGTATTTGTAATGATCCATAATGAATTTACTTCCAAGATCTTTTATTAATAAAACAAATGGAAGTGATGTGGCAAGTGAACTGGAAGGCTCTCATTCACTGGAGCACATGAGACGCTGGCTGCCACTCATGTATGATAAAATGACATCAGATCCTGTGGTAATAGATGTCCACGCAGCACATGTTACAGCCATACCACCCGTTTTCTTTAGTGATTTCATAACTTTGGTTCTGCTCTCATTGTAGAGAGTGAGGGGTGGGGGGTGGGGGGGATCGCTGTGTCAGTAAAATGTCTTCGAGACGGGACGCTGTATCTCGGCTCCAAAGTGTCTAACACAGCGCGAAAGACCTGACTGAGTACGGATGCAAATCCTTGGCAATAAAAGTTGTGATAGAGTTTGTAATAATTTGGATGATGAATTCAGGAGATGAATAGACGTTATAATCATTCCAGCTGGTTTCCTGATATCTTTTATCTGCAACGAGAAACTGTTAAACACTAAAAAAAACGTGAAGCTGAAGTCAGTTTCTCATTCGCCAGCTTCTCGTTCAAATTGTCCCGTTCCACCTTAAATGGTACAGCAGTTATAGTCTGACACCTCAGGCACCATTTAAGGTTGAACGGGAAAATTCAAATAAGAAGCTGGAGGATGAGAAGCGACTTCAGCCTCGTAAGAAGTCAATCGTTGAGAGACATTTTACAAGAAGCTGTTCTACTTTTGTGGAAAAGTTTCCTGCTAGTGATGCAAGAAAAGCGGCTACAGCTGAGCTAAAGCTTAAAGCAGAGCAAAGTAAGTCTGTGATTTTGTTTATATTGTACTTTTAGACTACACTAGTACATCAGCACACACCGAGACATTTACAGCCAAGATGGTAAAAGGGACTCAAAATCTTGTGGCTCTCAAGGTGGTTTGATTTTTGTTGAAAGGACAAAATGACTCTTGTTAACATTTGGGTTGCGACCCATCCGCTAGCTTTTAATGTAGTGTGCACGCCACAGACTGTCCGGCACTGCACCTCCGCATGTTCCGTCAACATTACGTTATCAATTAAAATTAAGAAAATCAATTTTTTACACTACTCCTTCATCAGTGGTCACAGGACGCTGCCCACAGAACGCTGTTGGCTGAATATTTTTGGTCGGTGGACTATTCTTAATCCAGCAGTGACTGTGGTGGTCCTGTGGGGGTCCTGACCATTGAAGGACAGGGTTAAACGGGGCTAACAAAGTATACAGAGAGAAGATAAGAAAGGTGTACTTAATAAAGTGACAGACTGGTGTACATACAAGTAAATGTCATTCATTCAATCTTAGTATGTTTCATTTGTGACACAGAACATTCCAAAATAAAATAATGAAAAATATTTAAAAAGTTATTGTACAAATATCAGGACTTGCCATTGATAACAGTACTCAATATCGCCAGATTCTTGAGGATTAGGGATGGGTATGGGCTTCAGAAGGGGAAAAAGTGGCATCAGTGTGTCCCAATTACATTAGACAACTACAGTAGACAAAATGTGTGTTAAGCATCTGTGTTATGACAGAAACAAACACACTGTGTTGCTGTATAATGTGCAGTACAAAATATGAAATCACACATATTGAGAGACAATTGCATACACTCACACACACACACTCACACACACACACTCACACACACACACACACACACACACACCTGTCAGTGATGGCACATGTCCCCAGCAGCAGCTCGGTGTATCTGCCCCATTTCCTCTGCAGCATCACGTCGATGTCCACAGGCTCGTCATCAATAAAGATTTGCTGCATGCAGCCGTGGAACCGGGCCAGTTTGGTCACACAGCGAGCCGTGTTATTGGTCTTAGGACAGCCTGGGCAAAAATCAAGCATATCAGTCACACCTACGCTTGACTAACCCACTGAACAAACGCTTAGACTCAAACTCTTTCTGTTTTATGTGCCAGTGTGAGAGAAGAATTGGCTTTAAGGTGAAAGTGAATGAGCCTGCATTCACTTCCAGCCCTGCAGAGCCAGTGTCATAAGCGATAGCCGTAATCTCTCCTCTACCAGCACACCCCATTACTCACCCCCAAAAAAGTAGCGGTCTCCAGTCTTCACTTGGAACGGGTTAGTGATCTTCAACGGAGAGCTTTCGTCTTCATCGATGGTGATGGTCAACAAGTTGTCTTTGGCAGCCAGGTCCACTGTGTGCCAGAAGCCATCGTTCAAACGGTACCCTGTGAAAAAACAGAAGTTAGCACACATCTGATGAAAGACTGACCTCAAAACAGCCTGATATTAATACAGAGTAGCAGTTTAGTTTAGGGTGAGGTGGGATAAAGTGGGCTAAGATCACTGTTAATACAATAACTAGACCTTAGCAATAAAATTGACTTGACACAAGTTATCTTTATTTAATATTTTTTTCAATATCAGTATTCACAGTAGTGCACATTCAAGGTATTTTTGAGAAAATGATATTCATATCATCCCATCCTGAGGTCAGATGCATTTGGCTGTTACCTGCAGCAAAGCGGAGTCTTTTGTTGTCCCTCTGGATCAACGTGACATTGACCTGACCTTCACTCAGGCCCAGCTCCAGAGAGCCCAACTCATCTGCGAACCTCGTAAACATCAGCAAGCCAGTATAATCCCATGAGCGGAACTTGAACTTCACCGCCAACCGATTCCTCCGGAAAAATCCAGGCACCTGTAGATAGTTGTTGGGCCCTGCGAAGCTCAAGGGTCGCCAAAGCAGGTCACGGCACGTATAGTGCATCTTTTTCTGAGGGAGGGATGAAAGGAAGGAAGGTTCATTTACAGATTCTAATGCATGTTCATCCTGTAGGTGCATCTAATACAGATGGATGAGATTAGTATTCCCAAATATCAAATGTTTGGGAATACTAAGCTCTAAAAAGAATGCAAGCTGTCTCCAAACCTTTGATGGACTGTGTCTAATTTCTCTAAACAGATATCCGCTTAAAGGGGAGTATTAGTATGCTCATTTTCAACGTTAATAATTGTATTTTGGGGTCTACTAGAATAGATTTACATGCTTCAATGTTCCAAAAAAACACACTATTTTTCTCATAGTGTAAATCTCTATTCACTCTCTGTCTGAAATGCTCTGTTAGAGGGCCTATTTTTTTAAGCGCCACCTCCCGACAAGCCTCTGAACTCTGTTCTGGATGGTCAACCACCAGAGCGGGTGTGCCCCTTGTCATGCAGTCTGCAGAGAAAGGCCACATCAGCAAACAGCATTCACACAAAATCCTTTCCGCAGGGCTGTGAAGGTTTATTTCTCTGATTCGCTGCATTGTTCTCACTAACGCCGCTCTCTCCCTTCATTCACTCTCTAGCTCGCTCGACCAGTGTTGTTCCCTCTCTCAGTCAACTTTCAATGGCGTGTTTAAACAGCAACCGACAAATCCTGCTCATTCTACCTTTAAGGAGCCCAACACAACCACGGCTGTCTCTTGTGACTGCCTGGGAGGAGTGGAGAGGATTTAGGGCAGGCAGTATTTGGGCACAACAATATAAAGAACAGCTCTGAAGTATGACTCGGCTCTCACCTGAGCAGCTATAAACACTGCTGTGACTATTTTTCCAATGGCATCAGTTCTGCCCTATCAGCTTGAGCCAGAGTCTGATCCTGAAAACAGGTCAGCGTCTTCTCAACCTGGCTATAAAGCTGCTGTGCGTTGTATGAAGGGCTACCAAGCTTGCCGGTAGGCGGGGAATAAGAACTGTGTTACATGCTGATGTCATCTTGTAACAGACAAAAGGGCTGGAATTCCAATGATGTTTCAGGCTGCTGAAAAAAGGGGTTTCTTTGGGAGACAGTTAGTCCCTCTGGTGTGTACTTTGGGCTTTATTACTTTGCAGACCGTTTATATGCACAAAAAGCTACGTAACACACTAAAGAAAGAGCCAAATCAAAAAGTACAAGAGATCCCCTTTGCTGTATTTTATCAACTCTGATGGATATTTTATCACAGTCTACTGTCAATGTTGATACTGAACAGTACCTTTTTAGGAGCAAGCCGTACATCAGGCTCTTGGTACTTGGTCTTGTAAATGATATTGATTCCGTTGATGAAGACGTTCTCCATGCAGCCACGGAAGTTAACCTTACCAGGGAGGTGGGGCATGTCCTTCTCTATGACCCCTCCCACATATATCTGAGGAGGAAATGGACAAGAGCTGAGCTCAGTGTTACAGTTCATGTACCAGTTGCACTAATACTTACCGTTGGTGTCACTGTTGCCTGCTATGACCCTAAAAGCATATTCCAACCAATTAATCATGTATTAATAAATCATATATAGAGGCCAAAGATTCCAATGTCCTCCATGATTTTAGCCTTTTCCTCTCGTTCATTCAGCTTGTGGATTCTTGTTACAGTGGAAGCTCTCGAATAGAATGCACAGATCTCAAACAGGATGAACGCATCCATTTAAAAGCCATTTAAAAGCTTTTGAATGAGTGACCTACAATCATAGATTGGACCAGAGCTCTCTTTTTAGTGCGTGTTGTCAGGTAGCTCCTCTATTTCAGCTGTAAACAGCATCACAATATACTCAGAAGAAGTCAGAATGAACCAAATCGATTCATTCAAATATTTGATTGGTCTTGTCTGGTTGACTCACCTGCTTGTCCAGATCCAAGTAGTTAAACTCCCCATTGAGGACGGCTCTCTCTGTCTGGCTGTCCAGGGTGAAGTTGACCTCTCGGCCGTAGCGTTTGATGGTGACATAGTGCCAGTGCTGAGTGTCCAGCAGGTTCCCCACTCTCATTGTGGTCATTCCATTTGTGTTATGAACTGTGCTGCTCCCTGTAAAATCAGCCACAACTAAGCTGTGTGCTTTAGGTATATAAGCAAAAGTACATTCTTACCACCTCCTGTATTTCAGTACTTTACTTTCCTCCTTACATTTTGTTACATTTAATACATTTTATTACAATTTTACAATATTACAATATCATATGAAAAAAAAACTCGTCACACACATCAACATAGACTGCATGCACTACTCAAGTAGCCATTATGTTGTCGTTATGTTGCTATAAATGAAGGTAAGCTGTTAGAAGACAATTAAGATCATGAAAATTAAATCATACAAATTAGGCTTTAAATGACTGTTAACTGCATTCAAATTTTTATTTCTAAGATCTAATAATAATAACAATAAAAGAAAAAAAGAAGAGCAAGATGATTTGTAAACTGTCTAATTCTATGTACATTAATTTAATATAACTTTAATTTGGGATAGGTGACCAATTTAAAGTTATATGCAACCCCTTAGTAATAGTAATAAGAACCCTTACATATTCGTAGCTTAGCAGTTACCAAATAAAACTGGCAGTTACTGAAAAAGAATCCTTTTTATCAATAACTGTAAAATTAGCCTGGAGTTTAAAGGATTAACCCTTCAAATTATCTGTTGTTTTACATCCTAAGGCTTATTATTTAGTAAATACATGGAACTGGAGTTACTCTTAACTTATGACTTTAGTTAGGTGTGTAATGAAGGTCTGGAACGTGGACAAGCTATGGCCATTTAAGGAGTTAACACATTGTGTAGATTAGGTACAATACAAGATTGTACAAGAGTGTATCCATTCTCCCAGTTACTGCTTATGGCTCCTACCCAGGCTAATATGCAGGTAAAGTCGCCCTGTTTTCAGCTCCAGCATGATGGAGTCTCCCTGTAGGCCTTCACTGTACAGCAAAACCCCATCTTTCTCCAGCGTCTTAAAGTTCAGAGCGTAGTGGTCCTGTAGTGTCCGCATCCGCCCGCCAGGAAATGAGTAAGCCACCATATCGTCCCCCTCTAACTGCATTACATACGAGTCTAGAAGCCAAAGAGTCAGAGGTTAAAGGTCTGAGAAAGCTTAGAATATGAAAATAAGTTGTCTGTTCATTTGGCACACTATACAGACAGCTTTAGCTAGACAGCTTTAGCACTGATTGACAGGAGAAACTGCTCTGTTAAGCGGCTTTGTGGAAAATGTGATTATCAGCAGCGCTCGAATGAAATGTATTTGATTGCTGCCCTGCAAGACGCCACCAAATCTTTAGTAACACAATGAGGCAGTGAGTGGAGCTGCAGTGACGTTTTATTCTACTGAATGTTATTTTTGGCCAGAAAGTGAGATAAAAAATAATTGCGGCAGCCACTGAGGGCCCAGTCTGTGTTCTCTTTAGCCCTCTTTACCGTAGGGACAGCCGTACACCTCCAGCCGGACGCCAATCTTGCCGCCATTTTCTGTGTTCCAGCCCATGGGCAGGAAGCGCAGGTGTTTGGCAGTGAAGGCGTAGTGGAACACATTCCTCTTCACCTGGTAGTAATTCCAGTTTCCAGGCAATGTCTGAGAGAGGGAGGGAGACGACAGTAGAAAACTGTTTTATATAAAGCTGGAGTTTAACGTTATCATTATATCCCTCAGTCTCATTGCTTTGACAGAATTCACGATTTTATATCATTTTCATGTTTTAGTTCATCAGTGTTCGCTACAATAACCAGCATACATTACATACAACCACATAACCACTGGGAATCCCTGTGGTGTCAAGCAACCCTGACTGCTAGCCTAGCCACTGATCTTTAGGCTAATAAATACAAGCAAGCTAGCATTAGTAGGACTCTTAACTTGATCATCAAACATCACAAAGAATCATAGAGAAAACAGCGATTCTGTCTTTATTTAACACAAAATGAACCCCACAGACAGGATTTTACTCTTTCAGTCTGAGAAAAGAGGGTAAATTAAAGGTAAAGAGCCTAGATAGCCAGGTAGCTAGCCACCTAGCTAGCTAACTTGCTGTTCTTCTAATCTGATGAGTCATTTCCACTGTAATCCAGTCAAGATATTAACAAAAATAAACATGTTAAATCATAGCTGCATTTTTTGCAGTGTATCAATACCTACAACACTTTCTTTTGCCATGTTAAAAGTTCATTTGCTAATATTTAAATGTAATATAGAAGAAAATTAATTCCTTTCAAAAGGTATTCCACACTGTAAAGTGTATTAGACAAGTATTTGGGCTATTTTCAGTCATTTTCAATTGAATTTAATAAATTCCTTTACATGCATTTATTTTTTATGGTACATTTCTATGTGTAATATTTCTTCATACTTAAATGTACTTTAAAATATATTTGGTTGATATGACAATATATTCTGAAATGTATTTTAGTGTGTGGGATGTATTTTGGCCTGGAGTGCAATGCATTTGATATGTACATGTATGTATGTATCAAATACATTGAACTCCATGCCAAAATACATCCCAAACATTAAAATACATTTCAGAATATATTGTCATATATATGTATGTCCATATACTTTTTTTCCATATGGGTGGTGACATTTTTACTCTAACTCCTGTGCTGTCTCCAAGTGGTTTGTCAATGGTCAAGCTAATCCTATTATCAGTGTTTTTTTCAAGTAATTAAAGGCTTACCACCCAAAACGGCTTTAAACGTACTTTTCTCAGGTGGACAATTCCCAAATGCACATTAGGCGACATCAGGCTATTGCCTATTCCTGACAGCAGTACAATCATCACCCTACATCAATCCAATACTTCCACCCAGATACAAACCAATAGCACATATTTTCAAGATTCACAGAAACGCAATCAATACTGCAACATCCTTCGCTAAAAAGCATGCTTCCACTCAGCACAAGCACAACTTCTGCACAATGAAGACAACATAGCCGAGTTAAAATAACACAGTGGAGATGTAGCAACACAACAAACTTAAAAGGCTAAACCTAATCTTCCTCAGCTAAAGCTACTGCCACTGCAGACCTGCAAAACTTTATGGACCATTTATGTCTTACCTTTGACGACTCAAAACACTTCAGTAGATGTTTGTTTAGCTAAGTGCAAAATTGCAACTGACAACAACTTGGTTTTTCCTCTATCAGTGATGGTATCTCACTTTTAAAGCTCCCTCAGTTACATCTTTTAACTGCAACTGGATCTTCAAATTCAAACACTGGTGCACTAACACACTGAAGGCTTGAGGCAGAGCAACAGTTACTAAACAGTTATTGAAGGGCTAAGAAAATAAGGTAGAGAGCATTTTGATTAGCAATAATACAATGACAGCACTCACAGAACACAAATTAAATTTTTTCTTAAAAAACAAAGCTTAATAAATATTCTGTCTACGTTTGATTGAGTAGGCCTGTGGTCAATCAGTCCGTGGCTATGCCCCTGCTGTGTACATACAGGCACACACAAAATTCACAAGCTCAGTGACTCTACCATGTTGCCGCCTCTCATAACGTAGGGTGTCCATGCATCAGGACGGTCTCCATAGAGGAGTGTATATTTGGTGACCCAGTCGTAGGAGTTGAAAGTCCCCTGAGTGGCGATGGCCACAATACGATACTTCCTGCCCAGGTCGATCTGCATCCACGGCTGTCTGTCCCGTGGGGAGGGAGACCAGCCACTGCTGCCTAAACACACACACACACACAGGTTATACACAGATAGGCTGACATATTGTATCAACGTTTTACGTAATGAAAACAACTGATTAACCCCTAGAAGTTGGTGTTATCTCTGGCAATGAGAAGAAAACTTACATATTGTAGTTAATCATTGTTATTATGTAACTGTATTACTAGGTCTGTTAATTAAAATAATGAATTGAGATAAATCACATTTTTTGAGTAGTTATTCACGATTAATTGCATTTGCTCAAAGTAAAGAAAGATTTGTTCTATTCATAAAGCAGTGCATTTTGTTACAGCTATATGAGTGAACAAAATGAGCTTCATCAGAATGTATTCATTACTTTCCATTGACTCAATAACATTAGGTTCACATGAACTTGACTGAACTAAACTGAACTGAACTGAACGCAGGGTGAATGTGAAAAATAAGGTCATCGCAGTTTTCAATACTATTATGGGTGTGAGGCTGGGCAGTGTGGAGTGTGCCAGATTTAAAAGATAAACTTGTGTCGTGTACCATGACACACTGTCTGAAGGTGGCAAAAAAAGAAGCTGCTCCTAACACCGACAAAATTGGGATCTTAACTGGCACCTTTCTCCACCTTTGTCCAGTAACCCATTTCGGTACGGCAGGTTATGCACTAACACCTCGCTGCCTATTTAAACTGGAGAACATAAACATGCTTTCTAGTCAGAAATGTAAGTTAACTTTGTTCTTGGTATAGTTTGGTAGTTTAATAGAATAGGTTTAATAAGTCACATGTTTACAGTCTATAAATCACTTCTTGTTACAATAATACAATGGCTAACAATTAATAGCTGATGTTATTACAACATAAAAATCTTTTAAGCCCCTGTTTAAATTTGGTGAGGGAGGCCATTCAGTGCATAGAAGGCTGCGGCACGGCTTTATCATTTTAACATGCACGACAAGCCAGACAGCAAATAAAGGCTGATTCAGGACACATACTAAAGTTACAGGTATAAAGAAAGAATTACTTTTGTGCATCGTCTGACTTGTTTGGCAATCGTGATAGACGGAGACTATCTAAAGCCTAAATGGCTGCATTTTTCAACTCCTCTGTGAGTGTAGCCCTCTCGCTTTCATACCACTTCGCTGTTGCGTTTCTTAGTTTTTCTTCCATAAGAACTGTCCAACATAGTTTGGTCAATTACTGATATTGCCAGCATCAGCAGTGTTTTGCTTTTAAATTAAATCTAGATTAGATTAGCTTTATTATCCAACCAGGGGAAATTTTTCTTAGGCAATCCAAGACTGCATGTCATAAAAGAACCACCAGACATACAACCTCCACCCCTGATTAACAACATTAATCACATTAATAATACCCCATGGAAAGAAAAAACAAAACACTGCATTGCTCACTTAACAGAACTGAGAATCATAATAGATAAAGATACAAAAGAATTTCTAAACCTATTTAGCATTCTGCATCTCCTGCCTGAAGGAAGAAGCTGATACTCTGGAAAAAGAACATGATCTGGGTCAGAAATAATTCTCTATGCCAATCTTGTGACAGACTGCTCATAGACTGAAATGAAAATCTGAAATGCCAATTCCTTAAAATGCTAATATGGCAATATAGAACAGGGTCATGAGCTTCTGATATTCAGACTCTGTGTACTTCTGCGATAAACAAATTCCCTGCACTGCAGTAGCTGGAAATAACTTTTTATCAACAGAGCCATGACGGAACCTGCCATTTAAAAGTCAGACAGAATTGGAACATACAGTGCATTGCAGCTGAGCTAAAGGTGTTAAAAATACTGCAGATAATAATTCACTGTGTTAGCATGTTATTAACATCTAAACTTTGACACCAGTGGTCAATATACTTAAATAGTACAGCAAAATGTCAGTAATAACTGTAAACCGTTAAGGGTTAATGCTCAGAATGTTATTAGTGTCTGAGCCTCACTATTCAATAACTTACCATAGAGCTTTGCAAAATGAGCAGAGTAGAGGAAATTATATCTGGAGGAGGCCAGGAAAGAGGAGGCATAAAGTGGAGAGATCAATGGATCTAAACATGGCCCTGAAAGAGAGAGAGTAAAGGAGAGAGAGAGAGAGTGAGAGAGCATAAATATAAAGAGAATTAGCATAAATTCAAACATCAGTTTCTACTCTCGCCATTTCATAAGCGACATTAAAGTGTCCCGATAACATCAGATAATTCAGCGGAACTGCAGACTGCAGAGCAGTAATTACAGACTGATCTGTCTGATAACACCCAGCTGCTCAGAGGAAAGAGGTAAGTAGTAAACAGGTAGTGTTTTTATCCCCAGAACTAGATGAGAATATTATTTAATAACTGCAGTAATAAGTGTAAAATAATACAGTGTAGATTTCTATTATCTATGGGGTTTTCTTGCATTTGGGGGCATCAGAGGGGACGTGGTGGAGTCACACACGGTCCTCGGAGCTGAAGGATGTTCCTCTGACCCAGCCTATGCTGACCGCAGCCCAATTATCCTATTTAGTCAACAGAATCAAGGTTTGTTTTGTTAAAGAGGCCAATTATTAAAAGTATTGATTTTATGGTAAAAACAAGAAATCATATAACCAATTCAACTGATTTACCTGTAATTTGCATTAAGGTCTAATCATTCTGGGAAAGAATGGAAAGAGAGTGAATGGAGGGTCTGCAGCTGTTATTGGATTTTATGTTCTGCTTTCCTCCTGGTTTCATCTTTAGAATGTATTTGCTGTGTTGTTTATTTTTTACTCTTCTTTTAAATGCACTTTTTGGTGTGTCTGTGACTGAAATGAGGTCTGAAGTCATTACTCTGAAAGAAATCAGAGTAAGAGTTTACATGCACTGAGAAATCTGATTACTGAGCTAAAATCCAGCTCTCTTTATCAGATTTCTTTATCGGATTTCTAGACCTCACTCCAATGTGAGAAATTGGAGTATACTGTTTACATAACCATTTGAATAATCAGATAACTGCAGAAATCAGATAGTGATCAGATTATTGATTAGTTCATGTCTAATCTTAAGGTCGTAAAGATCTTAGAAGTTATAAGATGTTGCCAGTAGGATAGAAGAGCTTTAATCACATCGAATGAAATCTGCCCAGAAACTCTAGAAAGACTGCATAATATATCATTTGTTAATCATTTCAATATAGGCCTTTGCAATACTGATATCTCAGTATACAAACAAGGCCTCTAACAAACTAGTCACAGTCCTATATTAGTTTCTGTGGGTGCTTCCATAAATCAACAACAATATTATTGATTCACCAATGTGTTGTTAATGAATTACAAGTGTGAGGCCGAGAGGCGGAGTTGACATCAGAGCCTCGTTCATATGCAGAGAGCTTCACTGATTGGAGTCAGCTGAAGTGAATCAGTGGGGAGTTGTAAAACTTTAAAAACAAGTAGAGAACAGGATGCACTTCAGGCTGCGTTTCAGTTTATTTGCCTTTGTTTTCATGTATTAAAACTCCTGGAAGCTCAGATCTTGCTCTTGTGGCCTACATGACAGACAGGCAAAGTATGTCCAGTGAATAAGTTTCCAATGCGATTATGGCCTGTAAATGCAAAGAGCTGTAACAATAAAATGTTTATCAGTGTTCTGAAAAACTGAGGACCTATTCACCAAAGTCTAAATTACTACCCAAAGAAAAACACATAGCACTTTGTTTAAGCCTCAACATAATTTTGAGCTGACCATTCTGCTGCTTCAGAACCCAGAGCGGCATGCTTTCTTTTCCGGTGGTTGAAGGTAATGTGCTTCTGTGGAAAGCTAAGTCACACCTGGTGACTACTTTGTCCTGATGCTGCCAGACTTTGCTGCTTTTCAAAGAAAGCTCACACAGGTATGACACTATAAGTGAACTGCAGTCCTTTTCAAATGAAGTTGTTAACCCACTCCAGGATGGACGTCACTTTAAAAGTGTAAAAAAAAACAACAAAAATATTTTAGGACTGCAACTAATGGTTATTTTCCTAATCGATTAGTCGGTCCATTATGACTTTGATTAATCGATTAGTTGGGAACTGAACTCTTGCAGATATGAGTGTGGCAATAATGTTCCACACAAACACACATAATTTAAGCAGCTTATCCTTTTGGGTCGCAAAGGGTGTTGAAACCTATCCCAGCGGTCATCAGGCAACAGGTAGGAAATACCCTGGACAGGTCGCCAGTCCATCACAGGGCAGCAATGTTTTATTCAACAAATTAAACATATAAAAATTATTCTTCCTTTACAGAAAACATTAAACACTTCTCCTCTTTTCCTATTCCTTTTTTCTAAAAAGACTTTTATCGAGGGCACAGTAACAGAAAAACTCTATTTTTGAAAGGTGAAGAAACAATAAAAACTCATTGTACATGGCAGTTCAAGATTGGCTGCTTTTCTGTATTTCTCCTATAATGACAAAGCAAAAACACATTAACAGCTTCTGTGTGGTCGATTACATCATGCAAAGAACCAAAAATGGTTCTTCTATTGTTACTATGGACATTGTCACAATAGAAGAACCCTTTTGGGTGCCATATAGAACCCTTTTCAAAGAGGTTTGATATAGAACCATAAACAACACATTTTCCATCACTCTGAAGAACCTTTTTATTAATCAAAGAACTCTTTAAGCACGCAAGAGGTTCTTTGAGTGTTCATGGTTCTATATAGAACCACCTTCCTTACTAAAGAACCCTTATGAACGCATCTTTTTTAGGAGTGTAGTGTAATGGGTAACACCTCGGCCTGGTGCACTCTATGCTATGCCGATAAGAGTCCTTTGGCAAGACTCCTACGGTCCCTGGGTTCGTGCTGCCCCTGCTCTGGTCTCTGTGACTCGTCCCCTTCGTGACATCAGAACTGCACTATAACTCTGTTACTAGTATTTCCTTGTCCATACTATGTATGTTTAGTGCCATTTTTGGTCCATAAAGTCTGGCCATTTGGTTTTGGTTTCACCTCCATTACTAACAGGAGTGGGACTGTGTGTTGTAGACTGGAGAATAAAGCTGGACGTGTGTGTTTGCCGTGTGTTGGTGGTTGAATCAGCCTGAGATGCTGCCCTCTCTGATTCTGATATCTTTATTTTGGCTCCATGCTAATGGACGAAGATCAATCCAGACACACGGCCGGTCCTCTTAAGCGTTAGAGGGGGGGTGGGTGGGGGGGTATGATGGATTGTTGTCATTACAAGAACAAATAAAAGCACTACATTTTCTTCATAACATTGGCAGCAAGGAGTCTAACCTCGAGCACAAATCCGTTCCCCTTCAGTTCAGAACAAATAAGCTTACATCTGTCAAATGCAATCAAATTCACACTCCTTCCTCATTCTGTGAAGCCTCAGCTCTCATTAGATTATTTCAAGGGCACGTAGATGTTCATGTTCATAATCAGGGGAAGGTATTTTGTGTAAGGGGTGAGTCAGGGAGGAGGCTCATTTTGAAAATAACATTAAAACTCCCACATCATAGAAAAGCTCCCTTTCTTCATCTGAGGTCCACTCGTGATGTTAGTGTAGTTTTCCATAACAAAATACAGTCCTAATTCGGTTAGCAGGGTCTGGCCTTCCACCACTGCTGAAAAAAATCCCAGAGGAAACACTGACTGAGATATGTAAATGACCTCTGTTCTGATAGGCTGTTCTTTTTTGTGCCTGATTCAACAAGCAGTAATGTGTGTTTTTTGGGTTTTTTTCAGTGGCACAGCATCAGTTCCTGAGTAATATAAATCCTACTTCAATTAGAGCTGGCCACCATTCAGCCTAATCTAAACAGCAGAGACAGATAAGCCCACCTCAATCTGCACCACTGCACTGCACTCGTTTAAGCCTGTCTGCACAAAGCGCATCACACCACACCCACCACTCATTTCCACTCACTCGCAATACAGCAAAGAAATACAGAGAGAAGGCAGATAAGAGAGCAGATAAAGAGCTTTATTAAACTATAGATAGAGAGAAGAACTGACTCAGCAAGATTGTCTGATGGATAGATGCATGGATGGATGGATCAACTGATGTACATACAGATGAATGAATGAATGGATAAATAGACAGATGGATGATGAAGGGATGGATGGATAGACTGATGGATGTAGGAATCGATGGACTAACATATAGATGAATCAGTAGGTGGATGGATGGCTGGATGGATGGATGAATGGAAGGATGGATGAAGGGAGGAAGGGAGAGATGGATAATGGTTGGATGAATGGATAGATTAAATTATGGATGAATGAATAGATGGACAGATAGAAGGATGGATGGACTGATGTATATACAGACAGATGAATGGATGACTGATGTATTGATGGATGCATGGATGGATGGATGAACTGATATATAGATGATAGAGGATAGTTAGATAGACAGATGGATGATGGACAGATAGATGGATGGATTGATGAATGTATGAATAGATGGACTGACATAGATGGATCAGTAGATGGATGGATGGATGGATGGAGGGTTGGAGGGAAGGATGGATGGATGGACTGGTGTATTAAATGATGAGTGGATGGATTGATTTATGTACAGATGTATGTATGTATGGATGTATGTATGTATGGATAGATTGATTGATGTATTGTTCGATGGATGGATTGATGGATAGATAGACTGATGGCTGAAGGGACAGATGGACTGATGGGATGATGGATAGATGGATGCATGAATGGATAAAAGGATGGATGGATTGACCGATGGATGGATAGACAGGTAAATAACTAATTGAGGATGCATGGATGGATGGATGGACTGATCGATAGATCGATGATTGAATGCACAGATTGAAGTACAGATGGACGGATAAATTAATGGACGAGTGGATCGATATGTGGATGGACTGATGAATAAATGGATGGATGGATGGATGGAAGGATGAATGAAGAGAGGGAGGGAGGGAGAGATGGATGATGGATGGAAGGGTGGATTGATGTGTGAACGGAGGGATGGATGGATGAATGGCAGGATGGATAAAAGGATAAATGAAGGGAGAGAGGGAAAGATGGATGATGGATGGATGAATGAATGGATGGATAGATGGCCAAATGGAAGGATGGA